CCTCCTTTGGGCTCTGCCTTGCTCCCTGTTCACCTTACTTCTCTTTTTTGGCCTAAGCAGAGCAAAGCAACAGCCTCCAACATCACCTGCTTCAATTACGGTCATTCTGAAGCTTCCTTGGAAATTGCAAACAGTGTTGGTTCCAATCCAGAGCAGTGTTTCAGAAACCTCCCCCCCCCCATGTGCTCCAGAAAAAGAGAATAAAAGGCAAGGAATCCCCATACAGCAACTGGTGAAATGATGCTTTTGGATGGCAGTGCTCTCCCCAACTTCCGTCTTGCAACAGGATCCAATTATTCCCAGTGTGCCCCCAATCCCCAGTCCAACTCTCAGGCAAAGGATGAGCAAACCCTGGCTTCTGACCTTGATCCAAACGAAGGATGACACGCCAGGAATCCATCATCCTATGAAGGTGGCTTGAGAGCCCCCCCAATGCAGGATGAAAATGGCATAAACTGCAAGAGTGTTCCAGAAATAACCAACTTTGCCCGCTATTTGGGAGGGAAGTCTGACATAAGTGTTGCCAGTCCCATCTACACTCTGCAGTGATCAGAGATTCAAGATTCTTCCATACAGAACTGTGCAAATTCCCACCTGGCTTGAATTACAAGAAGGCTAACCCAGCAGTATTCCTTTCAAGCTATACCCAAGGATTGACCCTTAAGAGGCTCATCTCTCCCTGCAAGCAGGTGACCGGGGATCAAAGACGGCCACGGAAGCTCAGACTCATTGTGACACCTGCATGAGGACTGGAAGAAAAAACCCCTCTGATTTCTTCCAGATCTCCCAAAACCAAATCTTAGCAAATATTATACTTTGTACCACGGCTATCCAACCTGGGCCCCACGGAGTGAAGAGCAGTTGTCTTGGACCGCATATAAAATATATAATACAGTTAACATATATAACGTATATAAATCACATAACCATTACTAGCCATCTGTGGCCACATGTGGCCCACAGACCACGGGCTGGACATGCCTGATCTAGACCCTTAGAACCGAAGTATATCCTTGGCTGCCTCTGCTCTTTCCCGAGAAGAGATTTCTTTCAAGTGCTCTGAAGAGAACCTTTCTAGTAATTCCCACCGACCTAGGAATTTGGGCAAAGCGCCTAAGGGCCCATCTCAGCTTTAAGCTTACGGCACAGACCAGCCTTCTATTTTCTTATGAAGAATCCTCTACACCAGTGGCTCTCAACCTGTGGGTCGGGACCCCATTTGGGGTCGAACGACTATTTCACGGGGGTCGCCAAACAATGCAGTCCGCCATTTTTTTCCCCTTTTCCTTAGCTGTGCTACTCCCTTTTATTCCATTGGCTTTTGAAAGCCAATAGAATAGACTCTCTTGAATAGAGTCTAATTCTATTGGCTTTCCAAAACCAATAGGAATTGTCCAGGCTGTCTCTGCCCTGCTGAGCCCGCCAAAAGTCCCATTCTGCAAACGGTGCTGCACCAGTTGAGTAGTCTTGACTTACGACCAGTTGGGGGTCGCGGCATTAAAAAGGTTGAGAACCACTGCTCTACACAGTCTTAGAAGGCCATAGCTGGGTCTGAGCTACTCCCATCTAATCTACTTCACCAGTAGGCTCAGCACTGTGCATTAAAATGTGAAAGGCAAGGGCATATGCTTTATTTCGAGCTGCTGCAGAAAAGGGGGAATACAAATCAAATGAATATATAATAAATCACTCTCTGGTTAGTGAATTATTGGCTGTTGGTTAATGAGAACTGGCAGTTGTTAGAGCATCACTAATAGTTTTCAAAACAGAGAAAATCCCACCTTTCTGTAAGTCTTCCTTGAGTGACTTCACTTGCAGGAGGAGTGGACTGAAAAGCAAGAGTGATAATCAGGGACAGGATCTCTCCAGAACTGAAAAGCATGACAGCCAAAAAGATCAAGAATTTCAAAATTCTGCCTCTGGCCAAGTAAAGCTCCCAAAGCACTCCCACTAGTAACCACATAGGAACATTTTGTTTCCCTCAAGCTTTTTAGGATTTTCACTTTATGTTCTTGGTTTCTACGTTTGTTAATAGATACAGTATTGCATACTGATGCTTTCTATACCACCAAGAACCCCAAATGGAAGCAGGCAACATCTGCTTTTTGAAGGAAAGCAACAATCAGAAGGTCTTCTCCATCTGACTGGCTCCCCCTGACTTCCCAACAGCTTCCACTTTTCTCCAACTAAAGCAAAATTCCAGTTTACCTTGTGATGCTGTGGCAGCCCTCCTTTCTATCTCCCGTTGCAAAGTTCTGGGACTCCCCCCCCCCCATCATGCATTATGTCCCAAAGCAGATTATTCACGAGGAGAGTCACCTATATTCATCATTGGGGTGTGCTATTTCCACTATATCTCCCAACTTGATCTGAAGAAATACTTTGGGATTCACCACAAGTTCATCATCTGAAAAGGAAAGTTGGAAAAGAACCCCTGTAGATGTTTGTAGTTTAGAGCAACTTCATAGCAGATCCAAAGTTATCCTCAATGCCACTAAAGCTGAGAAGCCTGAGATGGGATAAGTGTCAGGGTGATGGAAATACACTGAAAACCTAGAGAGTGGCAACCATCCCACTCAGTCATCTAGCAAAGAAAGACTCCTGGCCATTTGTTTTTGCCAAGAATATACTTTACTAAAGCTTAGGTGGTTACAGAACTGTAAGCTGAATCTGAGATTTTCCCATGCAAACAATACAAAGTAAATTTTCCTCCCCCCCCCATCCCCTGGTTATCTGTAAATGCCCAATCAGGTGCTTGTATATTGTTTAGGAAACAGGTTCTCAGTTCCCAGCTCTGCATATAGGTAGTTGATCTTGGCTGGCTGAAGCTTCTCACAAGGCTCAGTTGGGCGTCCATCCCCCCCCTTCTTCCTTACAGTCCAATCTTTCCCTCTCCCCCCACCTCTTGCTAATGTCAGGCTGTCAGCTCATGAAGGTTAGATAGGAAAGATGCAGCCATGAGAGAGTTTTTAAATTGAGAAAGTATCGCAACAGAGAGCAGGGGCATTCACTTCAAATCCAAACCTCATCCTAACAATAAACTAAGCAGGCATGTCTTAGCCTCCCTGCATATGCTGGAACACATTTTAAAGTTGGTCAGTTATAAACATGATTTTAACATCTTAAGCACACTTATTAGGGATAATGTCCCACTGAACAGACTGCAATTTCTTTCCAAATAAAAATGTGCTACTTTAAGCACCTGCTTTATAAGTATCATTATCATTAAGCTAGGAACCTCAAATTTGCCCTAAAAGGCTTTGTTGCGGTCCAGATATTGCACATCCTGGAAAATTCTGCTCCCAAAGAACAAAAGGTTTACTGGTGTTCTCCTGCACCTTCAGGGCACCCCAAGGTCCAGCTACCTTCAATAAGGCTACTAACCGCTGCTTCCGAAGCCTTTCTTGTGTATGACAAGCTTGTAAACTTTGTTGGTTCTCATCTTGATTTCCAAATTTTTGTTCTTCTTATCAGAAATCAGGCATTAGACAACTTTCTATTTTCCACAGAAAAGCAAGTAATACATGAGAAGCCATTCATCTTCCATTGTATGCTGTGAGGAAGCCAAAGCAAAGCAAAATAAAGTCACAGGTGACAACAGCTTTATATATTGTTTATTTATGTATGGTCACAGACTAGAAAAAAATAATTAAAATACAAAGCATCCAATATAAAAACCCTTTTCCTAACAGATATGCCTAACTGGATTTTGTTCAGATCAAATGGCTTCTAACAGCAATTTCCACAAGCAGAAAATTTGATTACTTTCCTGGAAACTTCATAATACTGATGTTTTAGCTGCCCATTAGGACGAACTCAAAAGTTTTACAGTTAGAGAGGAGATTAGCTCCAACTTCCAACAATGACATTCTGGGCAATTCAACTGCACATGTGCAACTGGTTCAATTTCAATACCGAACATATCCCAAATAATCTGAGCAGGGATATTACTGAATCTCAGGACAGGTCGTTTACACGGCCCATGCCCTTATCCATGAGGGCCCAAGAATTAGGAAAAGTATCTATGAGGCAACTCTCTGCATGTAAAAGTTTAAGGTCCTCTGCTTGATCTCAGTCCAGACTTTTATGATGTTGCATTTAGACAGCACAGCTTTTGGAAATCCACATTTAATTTTCTTGGGCCAGGCTGCAAAGAGGATTTGGTGATAAACAGCTTATTCTGGAGGAAAAGGAAGCTTCGGCCCCCCAGGATTCCCCCTGGCGGGGAATAGCCTTCAGGGAAGAGGGTCACCGAAATAACCCACAGCTCTAACGTCATTCCAGACACTTCCACAGGCCGCGGGGGGAGGGAGGGAGGAGGCCTCCTGAAGACAACGCTCCCTCGGCCTTGAAGGGACCGGCTTTTCTGACCGGGGGGGGGGGGCTGGCTCGCCTGTCAGTCCCCTGGAAAAAGACCACCAGCTGCCTGTGGCACAACGACGCGGGAGCTCAGGCTTTATCTCTGGGGGGCTGAAACTGAGCCCCCAGACCGTCCCACGGGGTGCAAAACGCGGCCCCGGAGTCGGGCTTGGAACCCGGGCCCAGAGGGGTCGCCCGCGTGGCGGCTCCCGCCAGCCTCCTCCTCGCTCCCTGTCCTGGATCGTCGCGCGAGGCCTCGAAGCCGGGAGGCAGCCCAGCAGCCCCGCTTCTACTGCGGGCAGCGGAGGGCAGCGAGCCTCGCCCCCCCCCCCAGAAGGGGCCTCTCCCTGCAAGCGGAAAAGCCGCCGCGCAAGGGCAGGCTGAAGGAAGCGCCTCCTCCCAGCCGTGCTCGCCTCCTACTTGAGGTCGCCGATTCCGGCCTTCGAGATCGGGGCGGTCGCGGTTGCTGCCACCGCCGCCTCCACCCCGCCTGGGTGCGGAGCGGGACAGGCCGCTCGCTCAGCAACTCACCCAGCGCGGCCCTGGCCTGGGGCTCCTCCGGAAGTCCGGGCCCGGAAAGCGTCCCTCGACTCTCTATGCTTCCGGGCAGTACCCGGATGAGGAAGCACGAGACCATAGAGTAGCAGCCCCAGAGAAAGCAGAGCGGCGCTATGCCGGAGCCGGCGCGCTGGGCCGCGGCCTACCGCCCGCCGAGGTAACTGCCGCGCCGCACCCGGCGGGGCCTTTCTTGGGGCGGGGCGGCTCCGAAGCCTAGGAGGGCTCCGGAGGCCTCGGGTGGGTCCCGAGGGAGGCCGGGCCGCCGCGTCCCCGCCTAACACGCGCCTCTCCTTCCAGGGGCGGCCACGCCTCCGCCCGAGCGAGGGCGGACTGACGCCGCATGTCCTCCGCGGGGCGGGAGCTCCACGCCGCCGGCCCGGGGGGCGCCCTGCCCGCCGCCTCTGCGGGCCCTTCCGCTGCGCCGGGGCCCGCGGACGAGAGGCCGGCCTGGGCGCTGCCCCGGGAGCCGCATAGCCGGGCCCTGGGCGCCCGCGAGGGGCCCCGGAGGCAGCCCTGGGCGGGCGAAGCGCGGCGGCGCCCGGAGAAGGAGCAGCGGCGGGAGATGCGAGGCGGCGGCGGAGAAAGGCCAGGCCGGTGCGAGGAAGGCCCGAGGGGAGGTGCCCGGCCGGGACCCCCGACCTGCAGCCGGCCGGAAGAGGTAAGAAGCGGAGGGGCCGCGGGGTCGAGCTCAATTCCCAGAAGCCCCCAGCCCGCCAGCCGGCTTCCCTCGAGGAAAGGCTGCCCGCAGTCCCTGAGCTCTGCAGCGTCGTTAACCTCTCCCGGTGGCGTGTTTTAAAATTAAAAATCTTGTCCTTCTATTGATGCATTTTTTTTATAATATTTTTAGGCCACCTTAATCCAATGACTTTCCCTTGTTTACCGTGCAGACACAAAAAAATAAAACATCCATGGAGTGATCAGGATTAAAACAACACAAGCAGACAGAAACTGGAGAGCACAAAACGAAGAAAAATGGAGGCTAAAGCAGAAAAACCAAGATGGCACCAAGTACAGACTCAGGAAAGGCCGTTCCAAAACAATTCTGTTTTTAAAAGTTTCCGAAACACCCACAAGGAAGGGGCCAAGAGCACCCCCACTGAAAAGCAGCTTGGTCCAGCCTCCGTCCCCAAAACTCTTAAGAAATGCGCAGTTGGAAATTGTAATACTGCTGATTCTGCTCTCCATTAAAAGTTGTCAAGCCTGTCATGCAGAGTGTTGAATGACTTAAAACGTCTCACAGAATTTATATATCACACTTACTTTTCAGGGCCCCTGAGATGCATGTCCCAGCATTTCTCTTCTCCATTCTGCAGGACAGCCAGTGTCTAATCCCATTCATTGTTCAGTGTGTTTTTGTTCTCTGCAGTCCTTTGCATGCATATATTTGCAAATTAGGTGCCATCTCATGCATTTGAGAGAGTCTCTCACCCAACAAAGCTGCTATGCTATAGTAATAAATCTGTTGGAATTTAAGGAGCTTTTTGCTCTTTGTTGCTGCAAGAAAGTAACATGGGCAACACTCCTTGAAATCAGCAAAAAATAGTTATCTCAATATGAGAAAACTGAAAGCTCCTTGAGAGATGCATTTTTGTGAGAAGACTGTGGCCCTCCAACTGTTGGTGGGTGGTAACTCTTTCAGACCCTCTTGTTGGAAGTTGGAGGTCAATTGCTTTTAGAAGGTAGCTTGTGACTCTAACCCAGGAGTCCGCAGCCCGTTCGGAACCAGGCTGTGGAAGCAGCGGGCCAGCACGTGCACAGCTCCACTTGCACAAACAGTGGGCAAGCGCACGCTTCAACACGGAGCTCCATTTATGCAAGCGGCAGGCAGGCAGGCATACCCGCCGCTTACACAAATGGAGCTGTGTCCACGGAACCATCCCCTCTGCCACCCACCCCTGCTGATCGACAGAGCTGGAAAGGTTGGGGACCCCTACTCTAGCAAATATGCCTCCAAGCATGGATGGGCTGGGATGCTGTTGCACTGCCTGGAAAGGTATTTAGGAAGTTCTGATCTTCGTTGTTGACATCCATGCTTTCATTTCAGGAGTTTCAGCTAATCCAGAAGGGAAGAGAATCTATTTCAAGTCCTTCCTGTCTTGAGATAAAAGGCTTGCTGCAGAATCTAGGTATGGTCATGCCTGGTTTCCAGGGCTCTGCCACGGTTTTACTTTGCAAACGCAAATGTTCCCTGCCATTTGCGATAGGAAAATTCTGCTCCCCACTTCACTGTGACTGAGAAGCACCATCTCTGTGTGTACATTCCGTGTGTGTGTGTATAGTATGTATATGAATATTTTCTGAATATTGTCAAGTTTTCTTGGCAAGATTTGTAGCCGGCTGTTGCTTCTTTCGGTTGAGCCTCCCTGAGTAAACCAGACAGGAAACATGACTAGACAACCTAAATCTCCTTTATAGGATGGGAAGATTAACCGATTCTTGAAAATCTGAAAGTAGAAGCTTTCTGCCTGCCGTTTTTAACTGTCTTATGAATGAGGCTTATTCCTAGGCTCATTTCTCTGACTATTAAGCCTACAGGGGCCCCTCTTGTTTCTCAAGGTCATCCCTGCACCCCATTATCTCCACCTCCCCTTCAGACATTTCTGGCAAGCTCCCGTGGGAACGCAGAAGGACCTGTGCAGCCTCTGGTGGGGGCAAGCTCTGCCCCAGTTGCGGTGAGGATTGTTGCATGGCATTCTGGAAGCTAGTCCTCTGTATATCTGCTTGCTGCTGCTGTTGCAACAATATGGCTACCAGATGCTCAGCGGTCAGTGGAATTCCTTGAGGATCCAAAGCCGTTCTTGAAATTTCTCTCTCTGGAAGAAAGTAGAAGACTTGCAAGATTAATGCTGGCTTTGCTGAGTAAACCTGATAGAAAATGTGACCGGATGAGTTAAGTCCACTTTATTGTAAGGCTACATTAACAGATTCTTGCAAGTCTGAAAATGCAACCCCTTTTAACTGCTGGACCGATTAGGATAGCTCCTAACCACCTCTCTTTTCTGATGGTTTCCTAGGTGGCTGCCCTCTGCTTAAAGCTTCTGTTGCCCCCCCCCCCAGGGGAAAAGGTGGTCAGGTGTTAATGAATTTCTCCAATTCAGCAGCAGAAATATATTTTCCTTCTAGGATTTTTTTTTCTTTTTAAAATGTGTATCATCTATTAATGAGAAGTCAATAATACTAATTTATTAACTTGTACTCCGCCCAACTCTCAACTAGGCAACTCAAAACAATCAAAACAGTGACAATAAAACAAAAGGAAAAGTTAAAAGATGGCGAGTGCAGAAGTGCAGACTGTCCCTCCCTCACTGAAACCTCCGTGAACAGCCTGCTTTGAGCTCTTTTGATTGGCAAAGATGCTCGAGTTTGGCCGGGATGAGTTGCGAGTTCTGCCATTTATTCCTTGGAACCTCCTGCCCTGAATCAGTGACATCTGAAGCGGTTCCTCTGGCTTTCATCATAAACCTCTCAGTAGCGCATGCCAAATTCTAGAATCTTATTCGAGTTCTAGTATGCCCACAGAGCAGATGGTGTCCTGCTGATCACAGGTCTTGCACGTGGGAACCTTGTTGGGCAAAACTCAGGTTGTCAAATTAAGACTTGGCTGTCATGAACCCTCTGCTGCTTATTTACATAATCCTCTTTGTGACAACCAGTCAGGTAGTGATAAAAAATTATAACTTCGTTTCTCCGGCGTATCAAGTGTGGCCTTTTTCCGGTTTTTGCCTCCAGGTCACCTGTTGAGTGGATGATGACACCGAGTCCTTAAATGGGTTTTTGTGGATGTTTAGGAAGGATTTGCAAAGGGGACTTTTCTGAAAAGCCGGTGGGGGCGGTTGTGGAGCTACTTCATTTGAGGGGTGTGAACATGGCCCTGCAGAGAGACGGAGCGTTAGGCACAGGAGTGTCTACTGCAATATGGGCGCTGTGAGGACAATTGGGGTTAGGGTTGTTTTAATGTGCTAAGGAAAAGAGGGTGGCCCCTTCTTAGTCGTGTTTTTCTTTTGTTTTTGTGTTTCTAGAAGGAAGTCCAGCAAAAGTGCAAGTGGCATCTGAAAAGCAATCAAACCTCCTGAAAGAAGCGCCAGGTATGAAGGCTGATGGGACTGGGCTGTATGGTAACCCAGGAGAGCCCGGGGCCCAAGCGAGGACAGGTGTGCTGCTTGAGACCAGTCAGTGCTCAGGTGCAGTTTCAGGAAATGACAGCTTAGTCTCTCAGGAGCCTTTGAGTCCTGCCTCATCTGAAGAAGAAGAAGAATGTAAAGGACTCCCAGCCTGTGCCAGGCAGGCTGGGGAAGAGACGTTGCAGAACCCAGGCCAGGAAATTATTGCCGTTTTTAACAGTCCATCAGTTCAGCAAGAAACATTTGGCACACCCAGTAACCACAGCCTTGCTCTGGATTTGTATACTTGCCTACCAGATCCGAGGCTTGAAACCACAGGCCAGACTTTTCCAGGTAGCTCATTTGGAAGAACACCTTGGGGTGACCGCATGGATCTCTTTGAGGGTGCTTGTGAAGTGCAGGAGGAAAGCTTAAAGAGCAATCAGAGCTGTGGAAGGATGGAGGATCTGGGAGAAGCCTCTGAGCTGAAAATGGCTAAGGCTCTGTTGCAGACAGGGAGGCCTGAAGAAGACTTGTCCAGCAAGGAGCACAAAGGGGATGACAGGGTGGATTTTTCTTCTAGCCACCTGCATAAAGGAATGCTTGAAATCCAGAAAGGATTTGCTGTGCACAACAGCTGGAAAGAAGATGGAGAACGTTTTCCTTCAGAACACGGCAGATTTCTAAGTTCAGCTGAACAGCTAACAGTGTCAAAAGACCGGCATTCCGAAATTAGCTTCTCCGCCCTTTGTGATGTTGTCCAAGCAGCATCTGAAGATGACATAAGAGTGACCTCTTCAGAGGCCAGCAGGATCCAAGACGATAAAGGTTCTTTTCTCCGCCATGAAAAATTGATCTCTTTGGGAAAAGAGAAAGGAGCTCTTTTGTTGAAAAGAAATAACTTTGGGTTCTTTCAGAACAATTGCAGTGTAAAGTATATTTCTGCGCTTCTCAGCCGCCTGGCTCATCAGCTGGACTTTGGGGGAAACGGCTTGCCACGAGTGGAGCCCACGGATAATCTGGGGACGGCCCTCCTGCTCTGTGATTTAGCCCTGCCTCTGTGTGCTGCCCGTTCTTTCTGGGTCACAGAGACCAGCGTGTTTGCTGATGAAAAAAACCTTAAAGGCCCTCAACTCTGTGGCCCCTCTCCATTCGCCCAGAAGGCTGACCCAAGCTTAGGTCAGGGAAGGCCCGTGGACAGCCTGTCCTCAGAGGGAGTCATTGTGATGCGAAGCCCTGGTGCCTGGCTTCACCACAAGAAGGCCAGTGGCAGACTCCGGACTGTAATGGACGAAGGGGCCAGGGAGATGGTCAGCTGGGCGCTGAGAGGGGCAGAAAATGGGGAGGCTGCTATGGAACCCTTCTGGAGAAAAGCATTCCGTCTTAGTGACCGGACCATGAATGATCCTTCTGCTGCTCCAGAGGAGATCTATGCTCTGGCAAGAAATCTCTTCTTAGATTGCAGAAACCTACTAAAAGGCAGAAGAAGGACGGCGACCAAAATACCTTCAAGCTTGGGAACAAGCCCAGCCCTTTTGGGATCCAGTGGGAGATTCATTTGTCTACAAAAAAATTTATCTCCCTACAGAAATAACTCTGCAAACGTGGATAGGGCAGGAAGCCCCTTGAACTCAGTTTATCCTCTGGAGATTCCCGGCGCTAATCTGTCAAAGGCAGAAGCTGAAAACTGGAGTGTTAATGGTGGGGATGCTTTTGATGGTTCAGAAGGTATTCTGGAGGCGAAGAGTAATATTTTTCCTCCCTATGAAAAAGCAAACGTCAGCAAAGCTTCATGTGGAGCCGATGCTGGTGGAATGAAAACCATAGAAAATGCAATAATATGTAACAATACTAGACTGTTTCTTCAGCTAGCATTTGATGGAGACTTAAGACTTTGCAGAGCTACTTTTAGAAAAGGTCAATGCCTAGAAGAAGAAGAAAAATACCAGATTTACCCCTCTTCCTCAGCTTGTAATCTCTCTACTTTAAATAAAAAAGACTCTTCTTTATTTACTAAACTTTCCGTGTGGCAGAGGGAACCCATTTATCAGATGAAGATATTTCTTTATCCATATTTCCTTGATAGTTGCACCTTTCTCGAACAGAAAAACGATTCACCAAAGACAGAGTTTCTAGAATGCCAGCAGCATTCCTTAATTTTCTACAAGGAACTAAATTATCGTGATTTGCAAACTGTGATCAGTTCGGCTATAAAATATGTCCCGTGTAATAAAAATGAATCATTGCATTCAAAGATGGAGCTCAAGGTAACTCCATCAGCCACTACACTTTTAACAGAATATCATCAAGGGCCACTTCAAGAAGTCGTCATTGAATCATCCAATAATAATAATAGTGAGTCAGAATTTACTGGCAATCTACTGAATGAAGACTCTTTAGAATCACAAAGTGCCTGGACGCTATTCAGATGCTCAGAATCTACTTCCGAGTTATTGAACCGGAATGATTTTGTGAAGAATCGGGGTCCTCAGTCAAAGGCTGATGGTTTCAGTTCTGCCTCTGAATCGGTTCACAAAAGTCCGTCGGAGAAGTTCAATTTTAAAAATGGATTATTGTCTGCCAGTAAATTGGCTTCATCTCCCAATCAGACACCTTTTCAAACAGACCCTACAATTTCTACTAAGATTAAAGGTCAAGAAAGAATGAAAGGACTACTTTTAAAATCATACAGAAAAAGAAAAATATCTAGTTTGATATCTACAGGCTTAGGCTCGCAGTTTCCGCAGAATAAAAAAATGTGCTTATTTCAAAAAGATGGCGCATTAACGTTCCCTTCTTTGAAAGCTCATGGCTCTCCCCTGGCCAAGCAGCCCTGCCGAGGGACCCCCGTGCCTGAAAGAGAAGCCGGCGGCCGCAGCAGCCCCTTCGGTTTGCAAAGCGAAAGGGTGAGCAGCTCCTGCAGAGGGGAGGCGGCTGCAGCTGGCCCTCTGGCTAGCAAGAGGACGCCCCAGCGCTTCAAGGATTCCAAAGCAGAAGCAGTTTTATCCCTGTATTCTTTAGAGCAGTCCCTGCAGGCAAAACAGGATTTGGAAGCTGGCCAGAGAGAGGCCAGCTGGCCAGCTGGGATGACGGAAGGATTTCCAGTTCGCATCCTTTCTGACACTGAGGAGTCTTCAGAAGCCCTCCTGGAAAATGTAAGGCTTGCTTTCAGGGGTGGGAAGGTCACATTTTCATTCAAGCGTGCGACACACACAGGTCTTCCTCTTTGCTTACCTGAAGACATTTCAGAATCTGATTCCAAAAAAGCCAAAGATTCCCCAGAGCCATCAGTTACATGGTGTCATGTAGCCAGCCCAAGTTGTGTGCTGCAGACGAAACCTTTATCGTCCTCGAGAAAACCGGCAGAAACCCTCGGCAGCTCAGCGTTGTCATCGTCTCGCCTGAAAGATGGGAGGTTAGCAAGCTTCCCCAGGTGGCCCAGTACTAAAGAAGGACATTTGCTGAGGTTGGAGAGCAGCCGGGAGCTGGCAGGAGGCCCAGAGAAAGGACTGGGAAGGCACTTGGCGGACAAGAGTATCAGGAGGGGCATTTCTGAGCCAGGGGCTCAGCCACCACCAACCCCAAAGGAGAAGCCCAAAGTGGGAAGAAGAAGAAGGCTTGCTGTTGGACAGCCCCCAGGCCACCTTTCTGACCCGAAGGCGGAGAGTCCAGGCGATCTGGCACGGTGCACTTTGGCTTCTCTAGGAAGGGCCGTGCAGAAGAGGCAGCAGGAACCCCCTTTCCACATGCCAAGCGAATCAAAGAGGCAGAAGAGAGGGCAGAGTTGTGAAGAGACCGCAAGCCTACATCTTCACTTCCAGAAGCGTAGCCAGAAGGCCAGGAGCTGGCTTAGCTCCACCGGAGCTTCCGGCAGTTTGCTTCAAGCTGTTGGCTGTGATCAGAGCAGAAGCTCCGGCGCCTTTGGATATTTGCACCTGCGAAGACCTTTCCCAGCATTCAGGAAACTGTCCAGAACAGCCTGCATAAAAGTTGGCATGCCACGCCGGCTCAGGGCACCAAAACCTCTGGCATCGAAGGGTCCCCCTGAGATGGTCCCTGGGGAAAATGGGGAGCTTGTTTATTCTGCACAGTTAGCCACCAAACCAGCAGCCCCCCGCGCCCCAGAGGCCATCCGTTGGGACCCTCCAGCGAGGCAGCAAGGCCGCCAGAGCAGCTCGCTGGCCTCCTCCTGGCTCACCGGGCAGCCCAAAGACGCCATCTTGTTGATGAGGCTCTCCTCGTTAGCTGAGAAATTGCTGGCCCCCACATGTCGGCCCTTCCCAAAGCCTTGTGGGGCGCTGCTTCCTTCCTCTGCTGTGTGGGGCCCGCTTCGCAGGAGGCAACTGTTGGAAATCTCCTCCTTTGTCCGTTTAAAGTTAAACTCTCCTCAGTGGCTCAACAGCAGCGGCGGCTGCTTCAAGATGGTGGGCTCCCAGGCTCTGCCCGTTTATTCCATTGAGTCGACGATCCTGTGCTTCTTTGAGCTGAGTAACGGCAATCCCTGTGTGCGCAGCACTCCGGTCTTCCCAGAGTCTTTCCATAACCAAATAGACGTTGGCCCCATCAGGAAGCCCCCCAAGACCGGATCCCCGAGCCTCCTCTCCAGATTTGCTCTGGGGAGTCCACAGCCTCAGCAGCCCTCCAGGTGGAGTTTCTCTCTGCTTCTGCCTCAGAGCTGCCCAGGTGTCATGCCAGTCCAGAAAGATGCTGAGCCTGGTTCCGCCTCGACCCCCAAGGAGCGAGAGGCCGTTGCTCGGAGTAGGGGCTGCCCGACCCACGGCCTCCCTACAGCCTTAGCTTTGTTTTCCCCCGGCTGCTATCGTGTTTGGACGAGAAGAAGGCATCTCGGCAGTCGAATCCCTGCGGTCCAGCGGCTGACCCTGCTGCAGTTTGCTCGGGGGTTCCAGGGTTGCCCTTCTGTGTCGGCTGACCTCTTCTCGTCCTTGCCCTGTTTGTTGGGCAGGGCTCTGTCCATATGGAGCCAGCATGGACCGTCCACCCATCTCTCCGAGTCCATTCCTCTCCATTCCGGTCCCAGCAAGGGACAACCAGCCCACCCTGCGGTGGCAGGCCTGAGCCACAGAACCAGGTAAAACCTGTCCTCCTTTGGGGAATCAGCCTGGGCTCTCTTTGTCTCTTGGGGTGGGAGATCTTCCAGCTCCTTTCTTAGGTGTGGGGTGGAAATCTGCTTGTTCAGGGCGACCCCACCCAGGGCTCACGGCCAAAGACCACCGGCTCTGCTTCTCTCCCTCCCAGCCACTATGAGGGTTGTTTTTTGTCCAAGGACACTCCACAACAGAGAACATGAATGGACCCAATGCTCTATTGTAGCACACACCTTTCCCAGCCGTAAGCTGTTGCTCTGGATTAACTCCACAGTGCTAGGATTTACAAGTAGATGTAGCCACATGAGTAAGTCTTCGATGCTTAGTCCTTAACAACTGGTCAAAGTCTTATACTCCGTAAAGGGGCATAGAGCCTCCAACTCCCCCTAAAAATGCTTATGCTCGTTGGGATTAGGTGCTGTCTCAGTGTGGTGCTCCCTTTGTGATTCCTGGCGAACTCCAGGCCAGGCTGAGCGCTAAGCCCAGTCAGAATCGAACCACCATGGGCGGCTTCCTGGAACTCCTGGCCCTAGCAGTTGAATGACAGCATTCTTGCTTGCCTATAATGGTTGTAAGGGCCCAGGTGTCACCTCCTGCTTCCTCCTCGCTTATTGACTTCTGGTCTCCTAGGATCCACACACCCCCTTTGCTAGCTTTCCCTTTCAGGGGTCAAGGCCCTGGGTGGGGTGTCGCTGCCTTTGGATGTGGGCACGTTCCTGAAAACATCAGGGCATCAGGCTCCGCTTGCTAGATAGTTGGATGCTGGCATAGATGCTGCCCCATTTCCCCCAGCAGATGGAGATGTGTGTGTGTGTGTTAATGAGCTCCTCTGATCTAAGATTTGGGAAAAGGGCTGAGCTAAGCTTAGCCTTGGGAAGTGTTTCTGCCTGGCTGCAGCCGCTTTTTACAAGGGCAGACAGTCACCTCAGCTTCACATCCTCCCAGCCACACACACCACACCGGGGCCAGGAGAGAGACTGCAGAAGGCTGGTGCAGAGTCCTGGATTCTGAGAGAGGAGAGGTTGGGTGATCTGGCTCAGCCTCTGGGCCCTCCTTGCCTTGGAAGTGGCTCTGGGCAGGTGGTGGAGGGGCAGCAGAGAAGGCTGGCTGCTGGGAGGAAAGTTCGCCCAGGCCTTCTCTTCTTCCCCAGGCTCAGTTTGGCAAGATGGGGAGAATAATTTACGTAGTGCAGCTGAGAGATTTGGTTTCTAGGCTGGACTTGTCTTCTGTAAACATTCAAGTTTCTTTTCTCCCTTTGCAAAGAGTATTGACAGAGGGGTAACTACTAGTTAACAAAACATGCCCTGTTTGTGCTGGACAGGTGATGACAAGAAAAAAAAACAATAAAAATACTAAAACAGGTTAAGTGTTACTAAACTTAATTGGGAAAATTATTTAGAAATTACTTAATTCCTGCTTCTGCCCACGTGAAATTCTTGCTTTGCTTCGTACACGTATAAATGAGTTGTGCTGTTTATCGAGCAGGGGTGTCCAGGCTTGGTGACTTTTAAGATCTGTGGACTTCAATTCTCAGAATTCCCAGCCAGCATAGCCCAGCTGGCTGGGGAATTCTGGAAGTTGAGGTCCACAGGTCTTAAAGTTGCCACGGTTGGACATCCCTAATGTAGAGCTATTTTACCCCCATTGTACTGTTGGGTGCAGAAGCTGCCTTAAGATCCCTTCTCCATATTGGCTTAAACAAGGCGAAGGCCAGTTTGGTCTGGACTATTGAGTGGTGAGTCTCCTCACAAATGCTGATAGTCAAGCTTTGGGCATCCTCTTGGGGCGCAGAAAGAGTCCTCTCCTTCCATCCACATCCAATGCTAACTCCTTCATTCAGTATCCAGCAGGCAGTCCTGCTGTGACTTCATGCCCAGCTGCTCACCTTCACTAATTGGCCATCTTTAGGGCAAAGTCAGGAAAATCTGCAAAAGTAATTGCTGGGTAACCTGTGGCTAAACATTTTGCCTAAGTCAGTAAGGCTGCTGGGCTGTTTTAAAGCCTCGGTAGACTCCGAGGACTGAGCTTCTGTACAGACAAAATCCCTTTTCTTGGCTGAGCAAAACTTAAGTGAAGCTCCAAACCAAAGGAGGTTTGCTTTTTATTCGTAATTGCGGCTTTGGAGTGAGAAGTTCCAAACCTCCTGAAAGATGGACGAAGAAAAGGGATCCCTTGCTCTTCGCTGGGTGGCTGAAATGTAAGGACCTTTCAGAAGGTGAGCCTCCCCGAATGTGGTCGGTCAGTTGGGTGACCCAATTTACGACCATTACATTACTACCGTTATGTAGGCTCCTTTATGGTTGTAACTTGAGAACTAACTATGATGTTTGAACAAGTGGAGTTAGGAAGGAGGCAGGTGCAAGCAGGCATTTGAACTCCCAGGGCTGCCCCAGTGGATTTCCTGTAAATCTGCAAGCTTTCTTTATTTCTGGGCTAGCGCCAAGTGCTTTACAGAATCACAGGGTTGGAAGGGACCTTGGAGGTCATCTAGTCCAACCCCCTGCTCAAGCAGGAGACCCTGTACCATTTCAGACATAGGGCTGTCCAGTCTGTTCTTAAAAGCCTCCAGTGATGGAGTATTCACAACTTCTGAAGGCAAAGCTGTTCCACTAATTAATTGTTCTAATTGTCAGGAAGTTTCCCCTTAGTTCCAGGTTGCTTCTCTCCTTGATGAGTTTCCATCTGTTGCTTCTCATCCTGCCTTCAGGTGCTTTGGAGAGTAGCTTGACTTCCTCTTCTTTGGGGCAACCCCTGAGATATTGGAATATCCTTCTTTTCACTAAACTAGACAAACGCAATTCCTGCAATCGTTCTTCGTATGTTTTAGCCTCCAGCCCTCTCGGGAGGCTTCATCAGGTCAAGGTGGGGTTTCCGCCTTTTATCCTCTCTCACGCAGAATTGACCTGCTGCTTTGCAGAAGCAAAGAGGGCTTCTGAATGGCTTTTCCACAAAGTCCTGCACTGTTTCCAGCCAAAGCTTTGATGAAAGGCTGTCCAGGGAGGGGCCCTTGGCCCCTGAGACCTGGGAGGCAGGAAGCGATGTCCCCCCATTGCCCATCAGCCCCCCCCTCCCCGGGCCAGATGATGTCGCCTGCAAGTGGACTTGTTCTTTGTCCATCTGAAGGCCTGTTGGAGTAGAAGCTCAGAACTCGATCAAGCTCTCCAGTGGTCCTGGCAGAATCCCTTGCCCTTTGTGCTCAGTCAATGAATTTGCATTGGTCCAAGACCAGCCTGCCTTTCCCCTTCTGTCGAGAGCAGGAAGGAGGCTGGCAGCCCCATGGACGGCTGGGGGGTGGCGGGATAAACGTTCCCTTGCTTGGAGATGAGCTGCTGCTAGAGGGAGCTTCCTCCAACCCAGTTCGGGTGTTTGCTTTTGCCTTCAGCACAACTTCTGCTTCCTAGACCAGCGCTCTCCAAATTTGGCAGCTTTAAGACTTGTGGACTTAAATTCAGGCTGGCTGGAGGATTCTGGGAGTTGAAGTCCACAAGTCTTAAAGTTGCCAAATTTGGAAAGCCCTGTCCTAGACAAATAGGCCTGCTCAGTCTTCCTTGGAATACAGATTCAATGAATGTCATCTCATTCTGTGTTATGTTCTAATTTTCTATTTGTTTTCTGTGATTTCCTCCCCCCCCCCTCTTTAAACCAGCTTATGCATGCCGCCCCTGGTGCCCGGCCTGCCATGTGACCCTCCCAGGGCTGCGAAGAATCACGTGAGGTCAGTGCCCTCCTCCTCTACCCCCCAAACCTACTTAGATACCAAGGGAAGCGGTTCTGTTCTACTCGCCTCTAGCTCTCCCTCTCAGCGTTTATTTTTTACACCCATCTTACCTAAGTGTCTCTGGGCCGTTCACATAATACAGCCGTGCTGAGCCGTCAGGAAGACACGGAGGCTGTAGTGCTTTGATGGGGGGGGGGCCTCTCCGCTCACAGTTGCTTTGCAGAGGGTCCTTCCCAAACGGGAGGTCCTGAGTGGAGAACTGCCCAGCTTTAAATATTCCACTGGAAAGTGGCTTCTCTTCTGGTTAATGAAGCGAGTCTGCAGAGGTTCCCACAGTATCTGCCTCTCTTCATTCAGGTCAGCCGGGGTGGGCAAGGTTCGTTTTGTGACCGACTTTGCCCTTTAGGTCAGGGGTCCCCAACCCCCGGTCCGTGGACCAGTACCGGGCCATGGCATGCCAACAACCGGCCACACAGACAAGCAAAGCCGCATCAGCGAGATGCAAGTAGCACACAGAACCACTCCCCCTCCGGGTCCGCTGAAAAAGCTCTCTCCATGGAACTAGTCTCTGGTGCCCAAAAAGGTTGGGGGCCCTCTGCTTTAGGTTGCTCAGGGCCCCACCAGCTCCGATGTAGGAGAGGACCAGGCTGGGTGTTCTCAGTCTGGGGTCCATTCGCACCCACAAGAGACCTCGGCCTTGAATTCCGTTGACTCTCATCTTCCGCCAATTTGCTTTGACTGTTAGCAGTTCAGATTCTTGCAGAGAGCTTAAGCTTGGAATAAATCTTTACATTTATTGGAACCGCCTGGATTTCCTGATCTCCTGGCTTGACCCTCTTCGTTTCCTGCCATCTGACCTTCCTTGCCATGGTTGACTTTACTGTCACTCTATCCCTGGGCTCACCCCCCTTTCCTCTCCTTTGCCAGGTTGGAACCCATCTTGTCTGTGCTGTTGCCGACGTCTTGCCAAGCTCCAGAACCGTCTCGTCCCCCTTTAGGATTCCCAGCTCTTGGATCCAGAAATGGACACGAAGCTTCTGTCCTGGCATTGCCTAAGACTGGAGCTCAGCCTGAAAAAGTAAGCGGTGCAGTGGAAGCGAGGCCTCGTGCGCACCCACGCTGGCTATCGCGTGCTTCTCATTGCTGCACGGGGACCACGTTTGACTTGGTAGAGTAAGTTACTGGGGGTGGAAGTAGAGTAAGTATGTGATAAGGAAATCCTGCTCTAGCTGAAGGGAATGTAGTTGGGGGTTACTCTCGGTGAGCATCAGTATCTCCTCACCTCTCAGCTGCCTCCGAGGACCACCGGGAGAGCTGGCGTGGGGTTCAGTGTAAGTGTTGGGAAATCCACTATGAAGGGAACTGTCGGTCAGCATCTGGGCCTGGCGTTCTGTCAGCTCAGTCGTTCAAGGACTCAAGTGAGGAGAAGCCGAGACCATCCGTCCCATGGACCAGAGGGACAAACGGGGAGAGGCTGGTGTAACCTCCGGACTAATGCTGGAAATGTACGTCTCTCTTGTTCCCAAGGACGAGTCCGAGAACAGGCCAAAGAAAGTCTCTCAGATCCGCATTCGGAAGACGATTCCTAAGCCAGACCCCAACCTCACCCCCATGGGGCTTCCCAGGCCAAAGAGGTAGGACCGGTGCCTTCATCTGCCGAGGGAAGGATCGGCATATCTAACTGGAGAGCCTTGCTGGGGGGGGGAGGCTAAGGGGGGGAGGGAAAGCAAAGACAGGTGCTTTCTTTGAAAGCAGCCCACAGGTTGAAAAAAAACCAGACCATTCTCTGGGTTGGGGGGATGTGAATAGCAAAGTTATGAATACTGAAACTTATTATAGGCTTGCAGGAACACATCTGAAAGCCCTCACCCCATCCCTTGCCTTTATCCCAATGAGAATGAGGGAGGTCCAGTCTGGCTGGAGCTCTTCCTCAGGGTCATTCCCACAGCCAGCTACAATACTGGACAAGAAGCAGGAGAGTGGAGGGAGAGGGTCTGCGGTAGACGTTCGTCTTCTCTCCTTGAGCGTCAGTCTAGATACCTTTCCCCCCACCCACAGGGGACCTATCCCAACAGAAGGCCGTGCAGTTTGCGGATGTAGCCAAGTCAGGAGGAGCTCTGTGGCAGAGAGAACGCCAGCCTTGCAATGTGGCTCCCAGCACCCTGGCCAGCCACCCTTCTCGTGAGCCTGCTGCGCTTCAGGGAGGGGCTCGCTCGGACTTGGAAGCCGAGGAGGCAGAGCTCTTTTGAGACGAGGCATTGATTGGCAGTTGTTATTTCTGGGAGTTGAAGTCCGGGAGTCATAAAAGAGCCAAGGGTGCCTACCCCTGCCCTAGGGAGACCTTTCCCAAGGGACCTCTGAATGTAAATGGCTGGTTCACTTGGCCAAAGGGCAGAGGGGGCCTTGGGGCAGGCAGCTGAGTCCAGGCGCTGACTCCCTGGTGATGAGATAGGGCAGGCGGGTTCTCTTGGGGAAAGAGCCCCAGAAGTAACAAAGGGCCAAGCTGTATGAGTAACCGGCTGCATCTCGAGTTGGATCTGGACCCCTGCAACACCCAGGTGTCATTTAGCTGAATCAAGGTGCCCCCGTCAGCAAATGGGCACCATCTTCCATACCAGCTGTAGCTGGAGGACACTCAAAGAGCAAGTGGTAGTGGTGTATCCAGGAGATGAGACGGGCATGAGGGACCATCCTTGGTGCCTCCTGGTGATTTCCCCGGAGCTGGCGGAAGGCGTTCTTGCCACAGCTGTCCCCTTCCATTGTTGGTCCAAGGGATCCTGCAATTGTAGGCCGGTATCTTCGGCATGATTCTTGGGAGTGATAGGTGGGGCAGCCATCCTATTGGAAGGGGTTTGGTGCTTTTTAATTGTATTTGCTTATTTAAATACTTTCAAAACAGCTCTGGACCCCCATAAGTAGCTCTGCAGCTGAGATGATGACGCTGCTAACCTCTGCAGCCGTTTGAAGCCTTTGCCGGTGGGACGAAGAGTCCCAGCCTGAGGTGTCTTGTTTCACCCAGTCACGATAAAGTAACTTTGGTACACAGTTAATAGTCTTCCCTTCTCTGACTAAAGACTGGTAACTGCTATTGGAATGTGATGTTGTTAATTAAGAAGATGTGTTGATAGTGAGTTGCTGCCTCCTTTTGCCTTCCAGGTTAAAGAAGACTGAATTCAGCTTGGAGGAAATCTATACCAATCAGAATTACAAATCGCCCCCGGCAACCAGGTTGGTTACAGACAACATAGCATCGGAATGGAGGATTTTATGATTTGCCGGGGGAAAAAGTTGTGGGAAACCCCCTTAAATGGATCTGCTTTCTACATCTGCACCATGGTTGCAAAGGGTTTACACCAGTTCATTTCGTGGCTTGAAAAAACGTAACCTGGCTGATTGTGTGGAAGGGCTTTGGGTCCCTTCTCAGATTATAATGATGATGCTCTAAGTCAGTGTTTCTCAACCTTGACCATTTTAAGGCATGTGGACTTCAACTCCCAGAATTCTACAGCCAGCATTGCTGGCTGTGGAATTCTGGGAGTTGAAGTCCACATGCCTTAAAATGGTCAAGGTTGAGAAACACTGCCCTAAGTTCACTCCTTTTGTTGTTGTTTTTTTCAGGTGCCTGGAAACCATTTTTGAAGAGCCAAAAGAGAAAAATGGGTCTTTAATCTCTATCAGCCAGCAGAAGAGAAAACGGATTTTGGAGTTCCAGGACTTCACCGTTCCCCGGAAGAGGAGGGCTCGCAGCAGAGTCCGAGTGACGGGTGGCTACACTCGGGCGCAGAAGGCGGCCATGGAAGGAAGAGAACTTGACATCCTTCTCATTCAGAAACTGACCGACCTTGAGACGTTCTTTGCCAAGGAGGAGACAAAGGAACAAGCCTCATTGTGTAGTTGAGTTTGGGTTGATCTGCCAGAAGAGCTTGTGGCGTTTCTGTGATCTGGTGCGCCTGGAAGGGGAATCTTGTTTTCCCACGGTTGGACCAACCTACCTGACTGAACCATATAGTGATATTTTCCTACAGGTTGGAGGAGGAGAATTAATTTCTGTTAACCTTATGAAACAGCCCTGTCTTTAGCCTCCATTATCGCTAAGAATTAACGTCTGTGGGTTTTTTGAAAAAAGATCTGGCTAAAAGTGTAGAGCAGAACAAAGGCTACAGCACCTTCAGAGACGTTAGGATTGTAAAGACTTCCCAAAGTTAGCCATGGATTTGCCTCTGCTGCTCTTCTTGTCATTGAGCCCTAGTAATGTGGCAGCTGGGACGAAGGATTTGGGGGGTGGGGTGTTTCGTTTGTTTCTAGCAAGTCTCCTTAGTTTGCATCGTTGGGCAGCAGGACCCATGATGTCCATCAGCAAGTATGTTTTGCTCAAAGAAGAGAAACTGTGGCATCCAAATTGTGTTCTGTGGTAGACATAGCTAGTTGTGGCACTTTGTTTCACTGCATGAGGACCCAGCGCAGAGGTTCACCTCCGGTTCTTGCACTAGGAGATGCAGGATCCCCAGGAAGTGGCTTTACTCTGTTCCGCCTTCATCACCGTCTGTTCTGCAGGCTTCCTCTCGGGGTGACTTCTTGGAATTGGGGCCAGCGAATTTATTGTAGGAGATTTTAATTGTGACGGGATGCCAGAATGCCAATGAGACCTCAACAGTCCTTCATTTTCGGTGTGTTTTCCTTCTACTACCTGGACTATTGCTCAGCACCTCTCGTTAATTCCCGTTTCCTGATTGTGACTTGCTTGGGGCCTGCATGGAGTGGTCCGTACAAATGCAACAAGAAGCTGGTTGGGAGCGCGAGTAGCAGTGTGTTACTGGATCCTGGTAGAAGTAGCAGCTGTGCAAAGCCACACAGAGGAAACTTTAGACTTGTACTTTTCCTTAGGGGTGCTTGGGAAACTTAAATATTTATCTTAAATGAAAACTTTACATGATGATCAACAGCTGTTCGCTGTCTATAGTGCCTGTAATTTGGGCCAGATTTAATGGCTGAATCATTCAAAGGGTTTGCCTTTTGCTTCCTCTCATCTAAAATTTGCACTTTTGGTACCTTAAGGCTCATGTGGACACTTCCTATTACCTCTGGGGTGGACTCTGGGGGCAAATGATGGTAGGCCAGACAGGTGGCCTGTTCCTTGACCTCGCATTCCATACCTGAACAGTCAAGAGGTTGGAATCGGCCTTGTAGATGACAGAGGGCCTTAAAACCGGAGTAGTAGAGGGGCCCAGCCACACGTGTGCCTGGCAGTAGAAATTTAGCGTTTCTGCTCCACATTGTTTTCCCACTGGGAAAAAGAGAATGGGAATACTTTTTAATAGTTGAGATCCAGAGCTGGTTTCCCGTGGGGACTGACATTATGTGTTTGCTGCTGCATGCAAATTGTTGAAACCGGAGGTTCTCCCTTCGTACTTTGGATCATTGTAGAAGGTCCCTGATTGCCTGTAATCGCCACGTTTTGGGTGGGCGGAGTCGAATCATTTACTAGAAGTATCCATCGTAGGATTTGACGACATGATGCGCCAGTACAGATGCCGATGTGGCAATTCTGGTTCGGAGGTGGGACTGCTGCTTTGACTCTGCAGGTAGGCCGGTGACTACGTGGCCTTCTTCTTCTGGCAACCTTAAAATGGCAGTTGGCGTGCTCCGTCTGTTTCCTCGGTGCTTTATGTCTGAAGTTACACGGGTGTGAATGCAAGGATTCTCAGCATGGTTTTGCTGCAGCTGTCCAGAAGAACAGGGGTCTCCACCTGTGGCGACTTTAAGCCTGTGGATTTCAACTTCCAGCATAGCTGGCTGAGGAATTCTGGGAGTTGAAGTCTTAAAAGTCACCAAGCTTGGAGACCCCAGCAGAAGAAAATACAGCCACTGGAGTGACAAGGTGGGCTCTGTGGTCCCCCAAGGCTGCCTCAAAGGAAGTTGCACCTCGGAGGGCCCTTGGAGCAGGCCTGCCAGAGGCCTTCAAGCAGCCCCCTCCCCAGGCAGGGACCAAATGCTTACCTGACTTTCAGTACAATCATGAAAAAGATTCTACTAAGAGCACTTGAAAGAAATCTCTTCTCAGGAAAATGTGGAGGCAACCAAGGATGTGATTTAAGGGTTTTTTTTGGGGGGGGGGAGTAGACTGATATTTGCTAAAATCTAATTTGGGGAGGGCTGTGCCTATCAGAGAAATCAGGGTACGGGGGTCCAGTCTTGGTGTAGGTGTCATCCTGGGGCCAAGATCAGCTTTGGAGCCCGGTCACACTCCCCCCCCCCAGACCTGAGCCTCTTAGGGGCCGCCATTGGGAGCCGCTTGAAAGGAAGACCGCTTGGTTAGCCTTCTCGTAATCCAAATCAAATGGGAATTTGCACACTTCTGTACTGGTGGCTGTTCTGTGCCATTATCACATGGTTTTTGTTTATTCCTGTAATCTTTTTGAGTTTCAAATTCACTTTTTCTAGTGTTTAAATTATGGAAATAAAAAATTTAAATAAAGAAGTGCTGATGGGTTTTGTGTACAAGTTACATTTATTAAAAATTTCAAAAATATACAAAGTGAAAAGGACAAATGTAAAAAAAAAAAAGATAAACTATCTCTTTGTCCCAATTGTTTTAATATAAGCAAAACTCTTAAGTACGCTAAACTGCGAGTGCAATCCTGTACATTGTTATGAAGTCTGAAGCCCCAAATTAACTTTAGTTGACATGCAAACGATGTTTCTGTTGATACTGCGTAAGTGGGAATGTCCCTTGTAGAGCTGGGTCCCCAACCCCCGGTCCGTGGACCAGTACCGGCCTGCGGCATGCCAGCAACCAGGCCGCACAAACAAGCAAAGCCCCATCTGCGAGATGCAGGCAGCACACAAAACCACACACTCTCCGGTCTGTGGAAAAACCTTTCTCCATGGAACCGGTCCCTGGTGCCCAAAAGGTTGGGAGTCTCCGCAGTAGAGGATATTCATGGCTCGGCTGCCGACATTCCTGACTTTCTGGGAATAGATCCTGCTTAGTGAGTGAATACTTTCCTCATCTCTGTTGTTTGTCAATTGTAGTTTCTGTGCCTCTCTTCGTTCCCCTTCCTTTGGAAAGATGTTTCTCTGGGGATTTGTGACACAGCTTTAATGCCAGCTCTGAATGTTACAGGAATAATGGTGGCCCTGTCGCTTAGCAGCAAGACCACCTTCGTGAGCTCTGCTACCACCTTGACAGTTCTTTCTCCTTGTTGTAAAGTACAGGTACCATTTCTGCAAACTTTATTACGGAACCCTTTAGTTCTTGTAAGCTACCACAGAAATCTCATCCCTCTGATGTTCCAGGGACCTCTGAGCCAAATCCTTGGCGGTGCAGTGATCTGGAGATAGCCTTGCTTATTTAGCTGAACTATCACAGCAGGTACAGAGGCTAGAAAGGGCTGGGAGCAGATCTGGATCTTCCTAGAGTTCTTTTTTGCAGGTGAAGGGCAACAGCGTTATAAAATAGCCTGTGCAATTACTGGCAATGTTACATGATCTTAACTGATCTCAGGAAGGGAAACCTCCAGGGAATCCCACTGTTATCAACTGGCCTAGGAAAAGGGGTGCCCACATGGTTGCTGAGCAGATGACGCGGCCATAAAACTGCTAGTAACCTGGGGACGCTCATCACCGAGGCAGGCACTTTTGTGTTTAGAGCAGCTGGGCAACAAACAGCTTTAGAGTCCTTGAAGTAAACTCTGGATGTTGCTTCAGTCAAGAGAAGAATTGGGGGGGGGGGGTGTCACGGCTCTTACGTCCTGCTAAAGCCAGAGAAACAAAATTCCTTTAGTTCCAAGATGGCTGCTTCTTGTCAGGGACGGGGGAAATTGGAGCTGTGACATTGTCTCAACCAACTTCCTTTCGGTTCAGACAGCTTTGACTCAATGGAAAAGGGACCGATCAATTCCGAAGGCAGAAGTGATGGGAAGCAACCAGAGGGAGATGCAGGTACAAGAGGAGAGTTCCCAAACCAGCTTCTCTCTCTCTCCTGATGGAAGGCAGAGAACAGACAGGGTAGAGCTGAAAAGGTGGCAGGTGCAGCCCAAACCTGGCTGGGACTTGCCTGCGTATCCTGGAAATGGGAGGGAGGGAGGGAGGAAGCAGTGAGAGTGAATCCATTGGGATGCTTTCCATTGGCTAAGGTACCAGTAGGATACATTCAAAAATGGATTTTCCAAAAACTGCTGAAGGATATTTGGATGTGGATGAAAAAATGGGAAAATTGCCATAGACCAGAATCATCGGGGGGGGGGAACTTTGGTGACAGTAAAAGCTTGAATAACTGTCTCCCTCTTTCTTTAGCTGGCAGAGTTGGAGGGAGCATCTCTGGATAACCTCAAGGCTGTGTGGAAGAGGTGCAAGTATCCAGTTTGCAAAAGTCTAGGATACCTGAAAACCAAGAATGGCAGTATTAATGTCTCAAAGGGAAATGTGCCCACCATGGCATCCGAGAGTGCCCCTAAACTTACACAAGGGCAGAATTCAGGTCCTCCACAACAATGATTAAGTACACACTAGATTAAGCAGACAAATACATCTGTGCATCATTTAAATGTATCTTAAAATCTCAGCTACTTGAAAAAGCATTTTATCGGGAGTGCAGAATTCACCTTGCATCTAATTTCAATGCAATCTCAACACTTTAATTCAGGACCTCAGATGTCTTGGAGGATGAACCCCACCTTCTCCAGCATGGGATGGGAGACGGCAGGGCTCTCTGGTCCTGCTGAGGCTGTGGGACGTGGGGGCTCGGGCTGAGTTATGTGTGGTAGCAGCTGCAGCCTCAAAAAGTGGGTCAGGAAAAGGGTTCTTTTTCCTACTGCCTCCCACAATAGTGTCCTTTAAAAAAATTATTCAGCCTTGCCAGATATTAACTAGGAACTGTTAGGGATAGAACTGTTGATTTCCAATTTTTCTTCCTGTCCTTGGAAGTTTCACCCTCATCACTGGCTCCAATTCCATTTAATGTAGGAATTCAAAGATCCTGTCAACCTCTTTTTTACTGATAAAGGAAAATACTTGTAGTTGAGGGCTGAACTGTGGGTTCCTTGGTGCTCTCTGAGCTTGGTTGTTTTCTTGCAGATGCTTCGTTACCCAAACTAAGTAAACACATCAGTGCTACCATAGTAGGACCCCAAAGGCTGTTTTTTTTTTAAAAAAAAAAAAAATAAGCCACTTTAGGGCTTAAAGTATAAAGTAAATGTTTTTTGTTTCTATTCTTATATAGCTTCCTTAAATAGCCTAAGTACATAAACATTAGAATTTTGTTTTGGGGTGAATGACTTTAGTTTCTTCTCTGGATGGAGTAAATCAGAGCTAGCTGAGGAATTCTGGGAGCTGAAGTGCACAAATCTTAAAGTTGCCAAGTTTGGAGACCCTGGAACAGATGAACTCTAGAAATCTTTGGTGTCTTTCAATGCATCAACAATACACAGGCAAGAGAGAAAAGGGAAGTTTGAGCTGAGGGCCTGGCCAGCTTACCTGCAAGGACAGCTTGCCTGTAAGGACAGCTTACCTGCAGAGGTGCAACTGAAGGCGGATTGGGCAAGCTGAAAGAAAGACTGCCCGAGAATCGACTTGAAGTCCAACTGGCCTGTGAAGACGAGGCCTTGAGTAGCGTCCTTAAAGAGCAGGTCACTTCCTCCATATCTCAGCGACTCAAAGAGCTGAAAATGGCTGTTCTTGACTGATTCCTGAAAGGAAAGAGGCCAAACTGGAGAGCTGCCAGCAAAGCCTGTTGATGGGGGGAGGAGAAGAGGCGAACAGGTGGACTGCAGCTGATGGCTGTCACAGCTGTCATTCTTCTGCTTGCTTAGCATTTGCCTCTTTTGCCAGCCTGACATCCGCAATGACAGGAGGGGGAGAGATTGGAAGGGGGGGCGGCTGGGGGGTGTGAAGCAGAGCCGGCCCTGACTGTGATAACCTCAATCAAGCACAAGGTCAGCAAAAGGAATGCGGACGTGGGAAAGACAGGAACACAGGTCCAAAACAACCCGAGAACTTTTAATTGGACCTTGACCGATAGAGGGGAGATGGCCAGGGAACAAGGGACGTTCACTGCATCGTTTCTTGGGCCAAGCCGACAGATTCTGCCCTGAAAAAAGTGAATTGTGATCTGTCTTCAAGGCTACGAGGGCAGCGTCATCCCACAGTCCCACGATTGCAATTTGGGCCCCTGGTCACCAACTAGCATTGATGGTTGCAGCCCCTGCAGTCCCACACCTGCAATCTGTGACCTTCCCAGCCAGCTTCCAACAAGCAACAGGGGAAGCCAGAGTCATTCAGTGACCATGGACTCACTTAACGGCAACATGATTTGCTTAATGGTGATTCACTTAATGACCGAGGTAAAAATCAGGTCCTGTCACGTGGTGACTCGCTTAACAACCATAACGCCTAGTATCTGAAATTCCAGTCCCAACTGTGGTCATAAGTTGAGGACTTATCTGTAAGACCCAGCTATTTTCCTTTTCTTCTTTGTTTGCAGCTGAGGTGCCCAGTTAGAGTCGTTCAAAATGTTGATTAAAACAGTGACATCCATAAGATCAAACATTCGCTCTGCTTGGAAATGCATGTGGGGAGAGTGAAAAGAAGCCTCTGGCTAACGTAACTGGAGTGCCAAGTAGCGCTACCTCCGGCCTCTCTCCAGGTGCCGTCCCTGGAAAAGAGCCTCTGGAGAGGGGCAGCTCTAGCCTGGTCGGGAGAGAAAGCCTGGAAATGGGCCTGGGACCCCTGCAGGCACCGGCTCAGCCCACATCAAGACCTCCACCTCATTGGAAGCGGGCTTTCTGGCTCCCCTCCAGTCCGTCACTGCAGCCAAGAAGGGACCCCAAAGACTGGCTGCTTCTGCCCCCTTCAGATGATACACTTTAGAATAGAATAGAACAGAGCTGGAAGGGACCTTGGAGGTCTTCTAGTCCAGCCTCTCGCTCAAGCAGGAGAGCCTACACCACAGGTCGGCAACCTGCGGCTCCAGCCGCAGGTGGCTCTTTGAGCCTTCCCCTGCGGCTCCCAGCCTCCTCTGCCATTTGCAGACAGAGACAGAGAGAGGCAATTGCTCTCTCTCTCTCGCTCTCTCTTTCTCTCTCTGTGTGTGTGTGTGTGTGTGTGTGTGTGTGTGTGTGTGTGTTTGTGTGTGTGTGCAAAAAAGAGTGGACTCACAAAGCTTATTGGGCAGAGCTCCTCCCTTTGCTGCATCTCTGCAGGAAGCAGGAAGGGCAGGAGAGAGCTAGTTAGCCCAGCTAGGCTGACTCAGGAATTCTGGGAGTTGAAGTCCATGAGTCATAAAAGAGCTGAGGTTGCCTACCCCCGAGCTTGTTGGAGAACAGCTTCAAGCCAGCTTGCCAGGTAAGCAGAAGATCAAAGAGAGGGAGAGAGAAAAAGAGAGAGAGGGAGAGAAAAAGAGAGAGAGAGGGAGAGAAAGAGAGACAGAGAGAGAGAGAGAGAGAGAGAGACCCTTCTGACATCTAAAATGAAGATAATACTGCATATATCCTTTTTTTATGCAGTGTTAGCCTCATTTTAGATATCAAAAGGGTTTTGCGGCTCCCAGTGTTTTGTTTTTGGTGGGAAATGGGTCCAAGTGACTCTTTGAGTGTTTTGGGTTGCCTACCCCTGGCCTACATCATTCCAGACAAGTGACTGTCCAGTCTCCTCTTAAAAACCTCCAGTGATGGAGCGCCCACGATTTCTGGAGGCAAGCTGTTCCACTCGTTAATTGTCCTCACTGTCAGGAAGTTTTTCCTTAATTCCAGGTTGTTTCTCTCTTTAGTCAGTTTCCAACCATTGTTTCTTGTTCTGCCCTTGGGTGCTCTGGAGAATAGTTTGATGCCCACTTGATGGAAATAAAAGTGCAGGAAGGCAAACAGACCTGCCTGCAGACATTGTCCCCTATGCCTAGCTTCCTGTTCTGACAAATAATAATCCTGACATGCCTTCAGTCAGCTGTCAAGCTTACCTGGGACTTTGCCAGGAAGTCATGGACCTTAGTGACAGTAACTGGCCGGGTCACCACAACGCTGGGAGGAACACAGCCCAGGTTGCAGGTCCTCCAAGCCGTTATGGCTGCTCGGCTCCCATCTGGGCAAAGGAGTTCAAAATCCCTGGGAGTGTAGCTGGTGGCCCATCCTGAGCTATTCAGGTCTGCAAGGAACAAAGTAACCGACTTGAACTATTTAGCATCACAACGTTTTCTGCAAATCTCACCAAATAAGGATATGATCATTGCTGATTTTCTGAGCGCTGAACTTGAAGTGCCGAGGACAGAAAAGGGTCCCAGCCCAAAACCAATGGAGGTTTGAAAAGCAGGTGTGGGAAAAAAAGCAGAAACGGTGAATCCAGGTGGACCCTCAAACTGCAGACCAGCTCCATGGAGGGAAATGCCATCCAGAGTTAAAGGCAGATTCTCTCTGGACTCCATCAGTTTCTGAGTCGGCAGCTACTCTGGGCAGGATTAATTCTAAGCCAATGTCTTCCCGTACAGCTGGATATTTGCTGGCTTTGTGCTTGTTGATTTACAAGTGCTGCATCTTCTTGCTGGGACCATCCCTGGTGTTGTTACTGGTTGTATGTCCAGGGGGCCCACTGTAAAAGCCCAGCCCGATTTCCCCTACTGGGTTATAATTAGCTCATTGGGAAAGGTGAGGTGGGAGAAGGCAGGGTGTAGCTTCTCCCCTGCCTCAATTCTTCCAGTTGGGCATCTATAATTAACAATGTTGATAGAGCTGGTTGGGGAATTCTGGGAGGTGAAGTTCACAAGTCCTAAAGTTGCCAAGGTTTGACAATAACGTCTGGAGGAAAGTTAACCTGAACATTATCAGGTGGCAATTTACCAAAATCTGAAAAGATAATACAAAATATCTCACAGTCAATGTTCTGAAGTAGGTTATGATGTTCCAAGAGAGCCACATCACCGAAGCTTCTCCCAGCGGGATCACCCAAGAGGCATCTGGAAGATAAAGGAAGAGTGAGCCCGAGCAGCAATTTTATTATAGCTTTTAGCCAATTAAAAAGAATTTAGTCTGAAATGCCTGCCTTCCAGTCCAGCCTCATATTGAGATGGTGAGCGAGATTTGACTTTGAAGCTGCTGGAACCCTGCAGCCCGGAGGCTGCGCCTTCGCTTTCCGTAAGTTTAAGAGTTAAAGAGGCTTTAACGGAATGGAAAAGACACGGACAGGAGCAAGGTGATAGAGTTAGGAAAAATAAAAAATATTAGCCAAAAGACACCAAAGGCCTGAAATAAAGAAATAACAGGATATACCACTGCAGGTAGTCCTCAACGTACGACAATTGAGCCCCACATTTTTGTTGTTAAGCAAGATATTTATTCTGAATTTTGCCCCATTTTACGACCTTTCTACAGTTTTTAAGTTAGTAACTTGGTTGTTAAGTGAATCTGGCTTCGCCATCGGCTTTGCTTGTCAGAAGATTGTAAAGGAAGATCACATGACCCCCGGATGCTGCGACCGTCATAAATGTGAGTCAGTTGTCAAGCATCTGACTTTTGATCACGTGATCACAGGGATGCTGCAACCACCATAAGTGTGTGAAAGATGATCATAAGTCACTTTTTTCAATGCCGTTGTAACTTTGAATGGTCACTAAATGAACTGTTGTTCATCCAACTGTTGTTGGATCTTGGAGGTCTTCTCGCTCCAAGCTTGCTTTCCAGCAGAAGATCCTACACCATTTCGGACAAGTGTCTGTCCAGGCTCTTCTTAAAAACCTCCAGTGATGGAGCACCCACAATTTCTGGAGGCAACTTTTGTTCCACTGGTTGATTGTCCTCACTGTCAGGAAGTTTCTCCTTAATTCCAGGTTGTTTCTCTCCTTGATTAGTTTCCATCCATGGTTTCTTGTCCTGCCTTCAGGGGCTTTGGAGGATAGGGTGACCCTCTTCTTCTTTGTGGCAGCCTCTCAAATACTGGATACTGCTATCTTCCATCATCGTCATCATGGTACTGAATATCCATCACCATTCTCTATATCCACCACATTTATAAACTACTTTTGCCTTGAAACATCTCGCCTCTCTCTTCCGGAGGATCTCATCAACTCCATCCAATTACAACTTTTTGATCCTTTCCTTCCGTTCAACCCTTAATAAGGTAATTGTAGATAATTGCTTTGCTTTTTGGTTGTCATATGACCAAATTACCTCAAATGTACTTCTTTCCCATTAAACCTGTGTCTCGATTAAGTCCACCTTCAGGTATGACTCTATTTTAGCCCACTTACTTCCTGAATAGCCCCCTTCACCTCCTTCCATTGTTGTTTCTTCTGATATATCCAACTCTTATTTCGAGATAAGAAAATGAGCAGAAGCACACTCTCTCTCTCAAACACACACACACATTTATTTATTTATTTATTTTGACATTCATTTGTTGCATTATTTAAAATTAGTATTTGTACAATTTAAAATTATTCCATCCATTTCCTCATCTTCCCCAAGGTACCTAACTTCATCTACTTGCTCTAGATTTTCACAATTTATGTACTGTATAATTATGTATACAGTATTTCCTCTGTATAGAACTACCTTGGTCTTTGATTTATTCATGTTCATATCAATTCTCTTCACAGCATCAGGGAATCTAAATAATTTGTAAATAATTTGGGTTGTCATCAGAAAAGCCGCATTCTCTGCATACTAGAGTAGCTGGAAATTTACATCCCCGATCAACTTATTTCTAGTATCACAGCAGGGACTCTCCATGCAATTGTCCATAAATACATTAAATAACTATGAAGATGTCATACATCTTTCTTTCTTTGGTTTCTAAGGATTCCATTTATTCATGTACGTTATTTATTTCCATCATATATTACTCTTCCTGCATCCAGCAGCCAACTTCCAGCTCTGTATCTTTTAATTAGCATCAGAAGTTTCAAAAATATGTTGAAATTCACTGTTTACTGGTCACATGATTTTAACCTAATTTAGAGGGAGCAAATATGATCAGCTTTCTCTGTTAGCCCTTCTTCCTTTTTCTTATACATGTGTGTGTGAGAAAGATGTAACAGCCAGCTTGTGGCTACATATAGTGCTCTCTCTCTCTCTCTGTCTCTCTCTCTCTATCTATCTATCTATCTATCTATCTATCTATCTATCTATCTATCTATCTATCTATCTCTGTGTGCCTTTAAGTCAGTGTTGACTCTTGGCAAGGGTCTAGGACAAATCGCCATGGCCAGCTCGCCATGGGACAGAACAGAATAACAGAGCTGGAAGGAACCTTGGAGGTCTTCCAGTCCAACCTGCTCAAACAGGAAACCGTATACCATTTCTAACAAATGGGTGTCCAATCTCTTCTTAAAAACTTCCAGTTTTGGAGTATTCACAACTTCTGAAGGCAAGTTGTTCTACCAATTAATTGTTCTGTCAGGACATTTTTCCTTAGCTGTAGGTTGCTTCTCTCTTTGGTTAGTTTCCATCCTTGTCCTGCCTTCAGGTGCTTTGGAGAATAGGTTGACCCCCTCTTCTTTCTGGCAGCTCCTCAGATATTGGAACACTGCCATCAGGTCACCCCTCGTCCTAATTCCAGCAAGCATTCTTTATATGTTTTAGCCTCTAATCCCCTAGTCATCTTTGTTACACTTCTCTGCACTCTCCTTAGAATCTCAACATCTTTTTTACATCGCGCTGACCAAAACTGGATGCAGTAGTATTCCAAGTATGGCATTACAAAGGCATTATAAAATGACATTAACACTTCACGTGATATTGATTCTATCCTTCTGTTAATGCAGCCTAGGACTGCATTGGCTTTTTTGGCAGCTGCAGCACACAGCTGGCTCATTATTTAAGATCCCTCTCACAGTTACTACCTATACTGTACCTATGCATTTGGTCTTTCTTGCCTAAATGTAGAACAAAATGTAGGACAATTTGCCATGGGACAATTCAACATTGTATTAATTGCTTCATTCAGTTACTTTTATTACTGATGACCACGTTTTCATCAAAATTATTTGTAACTCTTGTATTTCTGAATTGACTGTATTTATTTTATTATTATTGGCCACGGTTCCATTTAAATTAATTTAACTTTTTTACTTGTTAAATTGTCCTGCAGTGATTTGACCATCGCGGGTTGTCCCATTCGGCTTGGCAATTTCCTGGATTAATCCCTGCAAATTTCTCAGCAAGATTTTTGGAAGTGGTTTTCCCTTGCCTTCCCAGGGTTGAGTGACAGGGAATGTCCCAAGCAGGCTTTGTACTAAAGCAAGACTAGAATTCACAGTCTCCTGGTTCCCAGGCTGGTACTTTAAATCACTATGCCAAAGTGCCTCTCCTTGTGCTTATATACAAAGGAATTTTGAAAACCCCAGACAAAATCACAAGTCCCAAAGTCAGGAGACCCTCTAGGACTTAAGGCATGGCTTTGTAGTAACATTTTACTAAGAAGTGAAACTTTTTCTCCAGGGTGACTCACCTGAGGGCCCCCAGATTGCCATAGTACCGTTCATGATGATTAGCTGCACACCTGGAGGACCCTTTGCCTCTCCCCTCTTGTCCAATGCACACTTTGCACAGATTTCCACTGGCTCCTGGCATGCAGCCTTTCCAAAAAAAATTCTGGTATGCTTTGAGAAGGAAAAAGGGCAGCAGTTACTCAGTGGAATTATGTGAGGCTGGTTTTTCATTTACTGCACACTGCATATAGACAAACCAGCCAGCCAATGTGGGCAGCACTGCAAAGTAAAAAAAAAAATGGTTTCTTACAATATTGGTAAAGGGGCCTTTCTCCAGTGTTCTGGTTACAGTGCAAAATCAGGGAGGGGTGGGAGGCAGTGCACAGAAAAGCATCACTGCTACTATTTGGGTAAGTACTCAATGCCCCTCGGTTTGCGGGCAGCATAACCTCTGCCAAGCAGCAGCTGGAGAACAAGAGTGAAGGAAGAGATGCTGCCTCCTGGAGCTCCTATTGTGCCTATTGGGGTTCGCGAAGCCTTCTGCCCCCATCCTGACACCTTCAAAATATCTTATTCCTACCCAAAACGAAGAGCAGCCCAGGTCTCTTCGTGAACCAAGCTCTTCACTAGGCAGACGGGAATGCTTACCCGAGGTGAGGTTGCAGCTGGAGCTGCCATTCTCCGGGGCCCCAACGGTGTACTGTGAAAGCAGCAGCCACCCTCCTGGGCTGTACACGTGGCTGTGGCAGGAGCGCTTTCCCCTCAGGGTGTATCGGTTTCCTTGCTGGTTAGCCTTTCTCACCAGGGCGACGATGTAGAGTGGAGGAAAACCTGCATGGCGAGAACACACCGTTACCCTGAGGCAATAGAATAGAATAGAATAGAATAGAATAGAATAGAATAGAATAGAATAGAATAGAATAGAATAGAATAGAATAGAATAGAATAGAATAGAATAGAATAGAATAGAATAATAAGGATAGAATAGAATAGAATAGAATAGAATAGAATAATAAGGATAGAATAGAATAGAATAGAATAGAATAGAATAGAATAGAATAGAATAGAATAATATAGGATAGAATAGAATAGAATAGAATAGAATAGAATAGAATAGAATAGAATAGAATAGAATAGAATAAAAAGGATAGAATAGAATAGAATAGAATAGAATAGAATAGAATAGAATAGAATAGAATAGAATAGAATAGAATAGAATAGAATAGAATAGAATAGAATAATAAGGATAGGATAGGATAGGGAATGGAATGGAATGAATAGAATAGAATAGAATAGAATAGAATAGAATAGAATAGAATAGAATAGAATAGAATAGAATAGAATAGAATAGAATAGAATAGAATAGAATAGAATAGAATAGAATAGAATAGAATAGAATAGAATAGAATAGAATAGAATAGAATAGAATAGAATAGAATATAGAATAGAATAGAATAGAATAGAATAGAATAGAATAGAATAGAATAGAATAGAATAGAATAGAATAGAATAGAATAGAATAATAAGGATAGGATAGGATAGGGAATGGAATGGAATGAATAGAATAGAATAGAATAGAATAGAATAGAATAGAATAGAATAGAATAGAATTAACAAAACAGCACAGCACAGAACAGAACAGAATAAGAAGTTGGAAGGGACCTTGGAGGTCTTCAAGTCCAACCTCCTGCTCAAGCAGGGGATTCTATACTATTTCAGACAAGTGGTTGTCCAATCTCTTTCTGAAAAACTCTAGTCATGGAACACCCACAACTTCTGGAGACAAGCCATTCCACTGATTATTGTTCGAACCATCAGGAAATTTCTCCTTAGTTTTAGGTCAGATGTCTTTTTCTTCAATTTCATCTGTTACTTCTTGTTCTGCCTTCTGGTGCTTTGGAGAATAGGTTGACCCCCCTGAGATATTGGAACACTGCTATCATGTCACCTCTAGTCCTTTTCTTTGTTAGGCTACTCCTATCTAGTTCCCTTATCCATTCATTAAATGGTTTAGCCTCCAGCCCCCTAATCATCTTTGTTGCTCTTGTCTGCACTCTGTCAAGATATTTTTTATACTGTGACCACCAAAACTGGATGCAGGATTCCCAGTGTGGTCTGACCAAGGCAGTATAAAGAAGTACTAACATTAGAACTGGAGAACACGGAAACTTTGCCATGGCAAGAGAGAGCTTTATTCAACTTCCCACATTACTTGGATTCAACTCCCAAAATTCCCAGGTAAAGTGCTAGAAGCTGAAGTCCCATATATCTGGAGGAAACTAGATTGTTTTTTAAGGAGGCACAGTGCGTTTCTGGAGAGAGTGAGGAATGGAGATACGAGAGATCTGTTACCAAAGCAAAGAGGGGTGAAACATATGAAGTCAACAGCAGACAGAAAGAAATTGAGAAAAGCTAGGACAGACCTCCTTCCTAATTTTCCCATCGGGCTCGAAGAACCAAGATTGACATGTGGCGTGACTTCTGAGTAATTTAGTTTTATTATTGTTTGCCTACAGACAGAATTGTGCCAAACTAAACCAATTATCAGTTTAATTGCTCCAAAGGATCCGTCCTTACTCTCTTCCTATCTACCAGACATTCCAAGCTTCGGGATCTCTTTGCCCCATGTTCCATATTCCTGACCATATTCAACAGCAGAGTATTAAAGGAGGACGAGGCATGGTACAATCACACTTGCAAGATTCGATTATTAGGGCCACTCTCAGTCAAAATGGCCTTAATCTTCTTGATGAGTTGATTCTCTGTTTGGTTTGTCTGATGCGGCTATTTTATACCTCCCCAGCACTTGCCTGCTTTTACTGAAGGGACAGAGGGGCTATTCACATATTACTTGAGAACAGCCACAGTGTAAGGACCCACCCCACTTTGCATCTTAAGAAGACAGAACTCTTGGAATAGCTCTTCCAACAGGAATCCTTTATTAAGAGAAAATGGTTGCAGGCATGCTAGACAGGACTTGGGGTTCAAGCTCTCCCATTCAAGGTTTTAAGGGGTTCCCCAGTAGTCCCACCCAATCAACCCCCCTTCCAGTGATAGTTTCAAGTATCACAATTCCATCCCCTTTCTTCTTCCGTCTGGATGGAGACTTCAGATAACTACATGAAAGGCAATTACTCTTCTTTGATATGTTAACGCTTAGAGGCCACAATAAACACACATTCAGTCCTTTGAAGTGTGCTGAAGGAAGTGAGGGCCATAAAGCCCCTTTGCTCTCCCCCTTTTCTCCCTCTTATGGCAGAATCCAGAGAAGGCAGAATTGGGAGTTTCTATGTTTGATAATTAAAGATGAAATATAATTGGATTCTGACATCCGGCCCCTCTTAACAATAAGAGAGATCCACCTGAAAGAAAACACAAGTAAAAATTTAGTTAGGCTTGTTAGGATACTCTGTGTGAAACTTCTTCAATAGCTTCGGGGCTCTGACGTGACGTTTATGGACCCACTCATTTTGTGAGGCAGGGAGGTGTTTCCAGGCAACTAGGTACTGAGTTGTTCCATGATATCTCCTAGAGTCAAGGATCTCTTTTATTTCGAAGTGTTGTTCCCCCTCCACCATGATTGGAGGTGGTGGGGGGGGGATTTTTGGCCGTAGAGGTGACTGATGCTCTCTTTTCAGCAAGCTGCAATGAAAAACTGGGTGTATTTGCCTGAGGTTTTTGGGTAATTCTAATTCTACTGTTACTGGATTTATGATCCTTTTAATTGGAAAAGGTCCTATATATTTTGGTCCAAGTTTTTTACAGGGCTGTAGGGACTTTAGGTATTTTGTAGATAAGTACACCATTTCTCCTATAATGAATGGTGTAGGCTCAACCCTTTTTTTATCGGCTTGTGCTTTGTATGCCCGCCTAGCTTCATCTAGTGATTTTCTGACTATTGGCCAGGTGTTTTGTAGGTTTTCCATCCATTCTTTCAGTGAAGGGATCGTTGGTTCTTTTGGGGTTAACTCTGGCATAGGGTTGAAACTTTGGCCGTTGGCTATTTGAAAAGGAGTGTAGCCTGTGCTGGAGTGGACTGCATTATTGTAGGCAACTTCTGCAAAAGGAAGTAAGTCCGTCCAATCACTCTGTTGGAAATTTAAAAAACATCTCAAATATTGCTCAAGTACCGACTGGCAGCGTTCCGCTTGTCCATCTCCTTGAGGGTGGTGGCTAGATGTCAATCCCTGAGTGGTCCCTAAGAGGGATAAAAATTCCTTCCAAAATGCAGACGTAAATTGCACTCCCCTATCAGAGATGATGCGTTGGGGTGCCCCGTGCAATCTGTAAATGTGCTGGATGAAAAGTTTTGCTAAGGCCTTTGCAGTGGGAATTTTTTGGCAAGGGATAAAGTGCACCTGTTTGGAAAATAGGTCCGTGACTGTCCAGATAACAGTATTCCCATTGCTTTCAGGCAATTCCACTATAAAATCCATGGCTATTTCCCTCCAGGGGGCTGAGGGACTTGCCACTGGTTGTAACAGCCCTGGCGATTTCCCTTGCAACCTCTTTGCTGATGCACAGGTTGGGCAGCTGGCAACATAACTTTCTATGTCCTTTTTTATTGATGGCCACCAAAATTGCCGTTTAATTAAGTGTAAAGTTTTTACAAATCCAAAATGCCCTGCTGATTTTGTGTCATGGCAAAGTTGCATGAAAGTTAGTCTTTGAGTTGTTGGTATATATAACTTTTCCCCTACCCAAGGCAATCCGTCTCTCATTGTGCACACATGTTTGTTTTTCTGGAACCAATCATCTGTTTCCAAACTTTTTCTGAATTCAATCCCAGTTTGGCTGTCCAGTTGTGGTTTTATTTTGGCTTGGGTTCTTGTGGTTACTGGCGCTGCCAGTTGTGATTCTGCCATTATTGGTCTAGAGTCTGTGGTTCGTGCGCTGTTATATTGGGGCATGCGAGATAGTGCATCTGCCAGGAAGTTCTTTCTTCCTGGTAAATGTTTGAGCTTAAATTGGAATTGGTGAAAATGCTGGGACCAGCGGGCTTGTTTGGGATTGAGTTTCCTGGAAGTTTTCAGGGCTTCTAAATTTTTGTGATCAGTCCATACCTGGAAGGGGATTTTGTTGCCTTCCAGGAACTGTCGCCACGTGAGTAATGCCCAACGTATCCCATAAGCCTCCTTCTCCCATACGGGCCAGCGCTGTTCTGTTTCCGTGAGTTTCTTAGATGTATATGCACAGGGTTGCAATACTGCATCATCATTTTCTTGTAATAGCACAGCCCCCACTGCCACATCACTTGCATCTGCCTGTATTATGAAGGGCTTGTCCATATCTGGGTGCCTTAGTACTGGTTCGGCAGAAAAAAGTCTCTTTAGTCTCTCAAACGCTGCTTGGCACTCCATTGTCCATGTTAGTGGCTGGCTAGGTTTTACTGAGGATGTTCCCTTCGTTTTTAGTAAGTTGGTGAGGGGCAAGGCTATCTGTGCAAATGAGGGGATGAATTGGCGGTAAAAATTTGCAAAGCCCAGGAAACTTTGTAGTTGCTTTCTTGTGCGGGGTGGTGCCCATTCTAATACTGCTCTGACCTTCTCTGGGTCCATTTCAATGCCCTGTGGGGATATGCGATAGCCTAGGTAGTCTATCCTTTCCTGGTGGAATTCGCATTTTGAGAGTTTGGCATATAGGTGAGCGGCTCGCAGCTTCTTTAAAACCGCTCTGACAAGTTTGACGTGTTCTTCTTTTGTTTCGGTAAAGATAAGAATGTCGTCCAAGTAAACAAGGACCCCCTTAAACAGGTGCTCCCTTAGAACGTCATTGATTAATTGCATAAAGACTGCAGGGCCCCCTTGTAATCCAAATGGCAAGACTTTGAATTGATAGCACCCCATGGGGCAGTTAAATGCAGTCTTCCATTCGTCCCCTTCCTTGATTCTCACGCGATAGTAAGCTTCCCTTAAGTCTAGTTTAGAAAAAATTTTCCCTTTCGATAGGTGTGACAGCATGTCTTTCATGAGGGGCAGCGGGTATAGGTTGCTTTCACTGATTGTGTTCAGGGCCCTATAATCCACGCATAAACGTAAAGAGCCATCCTTCTTCTCTCTAAAAAGGACCGGGGCAGCCACTTTAGGCTTAGCTGGTTCAATGAAACCTCTCTCCAGGTTTTTTTTTATAAATCTTTCCATTTCCTCCTTCTCCTTTGGGCTCATGGAGTATAATCTGGGCTTCGGGAGTTTTGCCCCAGGCTTGAATTCAATGGTACAGTCTGTGGGTCGGTGGGGGGGAAGCTCATTCGCCCTCTCCTCACTGAAGACTTCAGCAAGGTCCCTATATTCCTCTGGTATTTCTGTTAATCTTTTTTCCTCTCCTATGGATGCTTTTTCTATTCTTGATTCTGGTAGCCTCTCTTGGGGTTTTAAGTCCATAGGGTCCCCCTTCGGGAATTTGATTTCTGTCGTCCTCCAATTTACCCAGGGGTTCCATTTTTTCAACCATTCCATCCCTAGAATCATTGGGCATTCCATACCTGGGGTCACCACAAACGTTAAGTCCTCTTCATGGTTGCCCAGGGAGAGATGTATTGGCAAAGTGGCTAGGGTAGCTGGCACCCCCCCTGCTATGGATCCATCTAGCTGGCCAAATGAGATTGGTTGTTCCAGTCTCCTGGATGGGATGCCCAGATTCCCCACTAGTGTTGGGCTAATGAGGCAGCGGGTGCAGCCAGAGTCTATTAAGGCTTTCACCTTCACAGCTTCGGGCATGGGGGGGATTAATATAGTCACTGTTTTGAAGATGGGTGTGATGCGTCCACTTACCAGGGGTTCGCCTTCCGAGCTGTCATCTGAGGCATCCACCGTCCCTGTGGTGTAGGCTGGAGTTCTTTCCCCTTGGTGAGCAGAGGTGGGGTTTTCTGCAATTTCCATCATTTTCATGGCTGTTTCTTTTGGCTTAGCTGAATACCCTCTGGGTTTGTTGATTGGGGATCTGTCTGGGTTGTGCTGGGGGGCCTTTGAGCGGCATTCTACAGCTCGATGCCCTTCTCTTCCGCACTTGAAACACCCCATCTGCTTCTTGGCTGTATCCGATGATTTCACCGGTTGGTGTGTCAGCTCAGGCGGGGGGCGGCTCCATTGTTTTCCTCGGCGATGCCTCTTCAATATGTCGATCTCTGCTTCCTCTGCCAAGACGTACCATTCCTCAAGTCGATGTGGGTCTCCTCGGGGCAGGCAAGCATCATATAGATCATAGTTTAGTCCGTCTTTGAAACGGCCAAGGAGGATGTCTTCTGGCCAATTCAGTTTGCTGGCAATGGCTCGGAATTCTTGTGTATACTCAGCCACTGGGCGTTTGCCCTGCCTCATCGTTGTTATTCTTTCACGGGCTTTGCGATCAGCCAGGGGGTCTTCAAATCGTCTTCTCAACGAGGACATGAAACGGTTGAAGTTACTGAGTTCTGGGGCATTGGAGTCATGCAGGTTCACCACCCAATCTGCAGCTGGTCCATCCAGGGCAGATTGCACGATCCGGATGCGGGCTTTGTCGCTGGGGATGTCCTGCCCATATTCCTCCATGTAGCTGAGGACTTGGGTTAGGAAAAACCCCAAGCGTGTTGGCTCCCCTTTGAATTTCACCTCCAACGGTGGACGTCTTGGAATGGATCGGTGCCTCCATTGTGGGTGGTAGTGTCTTCCGTCCAGATTTCCATCTGTGGTCCGGTAGGGGGTGGGAGCTCCTGGATCAGTAAATGTCCCTGGGGTTGCAGGTTCCACGTCCCCCTCGGTGTCTCTCCCTTTGTGGCTCCAGGAACTGGGGCGGGCGTAGGGCTCAGGAATCTCCTCTCCTAGGGAGCTGAGAGTTCTCTTCATCAGGTCAATAGCTTTCTCTAGGATCCAGTCTGAGTACGGCATACAGCTTCCTCCCTCTTCACTTGCGTGCAGGGATTTCTCCATCTCCTGCTTCCATTCTGGTTGCTTGGTCCCCGTCTCAGGGTCACTTTTCTTGATTCCTTTCCCCACTCGCTTTTCTTTCCAACGCCCATCGACCAGCGAGGCTTGTGGTCCTGTGTCTCCACCACTTCTTCTTCTGAGAAATCTGGCCTCTCGGATCCCAACATCTGGCAAGGTTCCAACTGGGTCAGCGGCTCTCTTTCCAGGGAGTTTTCTCCCTCTCTTGCTTCGTTGTCTGACATGGTAAATTTTTGCAAAATCCCCCGGCAAGGGTCTACCTTCCAGGTGGATTAATTTTGCAAGTCCTGTCTAATGTAAGGACCCACCCCACTTTGCATCTTAAGAAGACAGAACTCTTGGAATAATTCTTCCAACAGGAATCCTTTATTAAGAGAAAATGGTTGCAGGCATGCTAGACAGGACTTGGGGTTCAAGCTCTCCCATTCAAGGTTTTAAGGGGTTCCCCAGTAGTCCCACCCAATCAACCCCCCTTCCAGTGATAGTTTCAAGTATCACAATTCCATCCCCTTTCTTCTTCCGTCTGGATGGAGACTTCAGATAACTACATGAAAGGCAATTACTCTTCTTTGATATGTTAAAGCTTAGAGGCCACAATAAACACACATTCAGTCCTTTGAAGTGTGCTGAAGGAAGTGAGGGCCATAAAGCCCCTTTGCTCTCCCCCTTTTCTCCCTCTTATGGCAGAATCCAGAGAAGGCAGAATTGGGAGTTTCTATGTTTGATAATTAAAGATGAAATATAATTGGATTCTGACACACAGTTTTGTAACTCTAGAAAATGCTTTGACCGCCAATGTAGCACAGGGCAGCTACAGAAGAGGGCAGAGAAATTCTGTGTGGCCTGTCTCTCAAAAAGAACTGCACTACTTTTCCATATATCATATTTACTCTGTTTATTTTATGTCATTCAAGGAACATTAATTTTCAGCACAAAAGAAAAAAGCATAAAGAAAACATACCTTTGAAATCAGTAACACGCAGTTAAAAGCAATCCTTAAAAAACTAGACTAGAAAGCCTTTTAAAACTCTACAAGGGGCAAATGGACCTTGATGAAGGGTCTTTGTGGGAACAGAGACCCAGGAACTGGGTCTTACACACAAGTCTGCCCTCTCCTCCAAGGTGGCCTCATGTCAGGTTATCATAGTAGCTTAAATAAACAACTATTGAGCAGAGAGCAGACTTTCTGCTGCTGGCCATTAAGTGTCATTTTCCTTAATTCTGAAATATGTTAATCAGCTACAGCAAGAGAGCATTAGAGCAGGACAAACCATGTGCCAAAGCAATGCTCGAGGAACAGTGCAGCACTCACTCCCACTTACCCCCAACATGGGTCAACGTCTCCGGTTCCAGCCTTGTGGGAGCACATCCTTCTCCTGTGCAGAAGAGACAGAAGGCTGAAGAGCTGCTCTCCAGGGCTCGCCAGACAAAAGCAGTGGGCTAAAAAACTGACAACACCACAACTTTGCTCTCAGGCAGGAAATGGCCTTCTCCCTCACACATGAGAGCCACACAATGACTGGACTGGGATCTTCTGGCCCAGGATTTGAGCAATCTGGCCTCTCTCTCCTTTCGAAGCACAAGGCAACTGAAGTAGCCTGTGACAGAACAGCACTGCGTAGTTGCTTTGTGTTACAGTTCGCATCCTCTCCAGCCCGTCTCCCCTTGCAGGCCTGGTCTTTTTAGTTTGTAAGCATAAGGGCAACCCTCCCCCCCCCTCCAGACTTTAAACTGACACCGTCTTTCTAACTGATGCTTTGAAAGACTAAACATTTTGCACGTCATCCAGACTGTTGCTCCTCAAGAGCCATTTTGGTCAGAAAACCAGCACCTCCCCAGATGCTCCAATGGGCTTTCCCCCATCTCCTGTACCAAGGGCATGCCTGGTGTTCCATTTTTCTGTTTATGATTTTAATGAAAATCAAATCTTACCATAACACTCTGCCGCAACAGGGGCGAGCGTGCAGGTCTCCGCAAAGTATGCATGGGTGGCGTCCAGCGTGACAGCATCTGCTTCGTTCTTCTGTCAGGGGAAGAACCACTCGGTCAGCTGCGAGAGGCCTGCTCTTTTCGGAGGAAAAACTGCTCTTGCCTGGTGTGATGGTCTGGCTGGGACCACAGCCTTTGCCAGCCAGATTGGAGTAAGAAAATAACGGATCTCAGAAAATGAAATGGGAACCCAAACTTCTTAGAATGTCATGTCATTTCTTGGGCAGGATTTGTATATTTTAAGTCACGGTTTATTTAAATAAACCAGAATTAGCTGGATTCACAAGCCATAATTGTTGTACTAATATTATGCTATGCCTCAAACAAATCACCCAACACCTTAGCGCAGAGGGCCATGTTTAGTGGTGGGATTCAGCCGGTTTGCACCACTTCGGCCGAACCGGTAGCTAATTTTTTGTTGCCCAGGCCCAGAATGGACTTCCGGAAGCGGCATCCACACAGAGAACCGGTTGTTCACCTATTTGAATCCCATCACTGGCCATGTTCCCCAAGGACCACTCTTTTTTTGGCTCGCTGAGCTCCCCAAATAGGATCATTGAATAAATAAGCTATTTTCCGCCATTTTGATGTGGAAGGTTCAAGTCCATTATTGTGTGAGCCATAAAATAAGTGTATCCAGTGAAAAACGAAGAGGACCTCCCACTTCACTCTTCCCAAAGCAGCTCTGCACTTGTGGCTGATGCAGTTCCACTCAGTCGGTTCCCTGCTGACTTAGTGCCGTGCTTGAGTCAAAAATTTCAGCTCCTTCCTGTGCTCCAAAGCCTCTGCCTGCCTCTGCACAAGGGCTGCCTGGCTAGGGAGAGCAGGTTTCTGTTTCTAAAATGCCCAGGACTGAAAGCTAGGTAGCAAGGTGAGCGGGTGCTTATCTTTCCTCCCATCGCTTAAAACCCACAATTCATTGCACGCCTGGATCAACTAATCCTAGCAGGATCCCACGAGCCAGTCTCTCCGGCAGAGAGGTGGGCTCAGAGTTCCAATCCTATGTATAGGCACCTAGTCTGAGTCCAGAGGTACTCCTCACACCCCTCCTCCGTGCAATTTTGATAAAAGCCCTACATGGCTTGGGACCAGGTTATTTTCCCAGTCGTATCCGCCCAACCCTCTGGAGCGGGGAGGCAGGGAATGTTGGGGGTCCTCTCTCCCTCCCCCTTTCCATTTAGGACAGTGGTTCTCAACCTTTTTAATGCCGCGACCCCCAACCAGTCGTAAGTCGAGGACTACTCAACCGGTCGTAAGTCAAGGACTACTCAACTGGTGCAGAACCGTTTGCAGAATGGGACTTTTGGCGGGCTCAGCAGGGCAGAGACAGCCTGGACAATTCCTATTGGCTTTTGAAAGCCAATAGAATTAGACTCTATTCAAGAGTCTATTCTATTGGCTTTCAAAAGCCAATAGAATAAAAGGGAGGAGCACAGCTAAGGGGGAAAAAATGGTGGACTGCGTTGTTTGGCGACCCCCGTGAAATGGTCGTTCGACCCCAAATGGGGTCCCGACCCACAGGTTGAGAACCACTGGTTTAGGAGGACCCAAAAGAAGGCCCTTCTCTACAGTGGCTCCCTTCCTGTTGAACATCATCCCTGCAGACAGGATTGGGCCCCGATTTGACACTCTTTTGCAAGGCCCTGAAGGTGTGCTACTGACAGTGGGCCTGGAGACCCCAGGATGACACAGAGACCATCAAGTGGTTCATCTGATTATTGTCACCAGGGGAGAGGTGGGGTTATTGCTTTTTTTACTGGGGTTTTATTCTTTGTAAGCTGCCCAGGGTCACTGAGAGTGGGTTGGGCCGCCATATAAATTTTCTTAAATAAATATAGCAAAAACAAAATGGGGGGAAAAAGCCAAATTAGGCCATAGCTCTGTTGGGGAGAGGCTTGGCTCTCTCCCTCCCACCTCCGTTTTAACCCATTTTTCCACAGGAAATAGAGCCTTTGAAGAAGCCACTCACCTTGATGAGCTCAATGCAGCTGATCATGGAGTCTGCCTGGACACAGACCAGGGGGTCAGCCCTGGCATTCAGAGCCCACTCCTCACATTTACGGAGCTCCAGGTCACTGATACAGCACCAGCGCACCAGGCTGTTGGACAGAGAGCTCCCTGGGGCAGCAGGAAAATGACCGTCAGCGGTGAGAGGAGAAGCTGCCTGGCCCAGTCGCTGGGTGCTGGAGAATGCGCCTCCCCTCACCTTCATGTCCCAAACCCTGCAGGAGGGTGACATAGTCGAGGCCAAGAACCTGCGTGATCTCCGTCTCTTCTGCCAGCAGCCGCAGGTGCTGAGTGGCATCGTGGAACAGCAGGTCCCTCCCTCTGAACGGTGCAGACGCAAAGAGCTCAAACCTGCCTTTTTCTTTCCCGCTCTTTCCAAACAGGTCCTGGGAACCAAAGCCGGTGATCACAAGTCCCTGGACCCAGGCAGCAAGCAGGCCCTACCCAGGGCGGGGGATGGGGATGCATCTGCCAAGAGCCACACCACCCACAAGCTCCCAGAACCTCCACACAGGGCAAATGGAGGCGCTCACCCGATCGCCAAAACTAGCAGCAGGAAGACGAAAAGGGGGTTTAATTTAACTGGAACAGGTTTCTGGGGCAGAATCGTCCTCAGATAGGACATATGCCCAACCACCCTCCTGATGCCCTCAAAACTATGTTTTGTTTTGTTTTCTGGCTACATTGCCACCTGGTTCTGGGCACCTGGGATTTCTGTGTGCTCCTCAGTACTATGTATTTCAAAAATCTTCTCCCAGGAGGCTGGCTCTGGGGATGCTCAGGAACGATGGAATGGTGATCTGTGTGTGGCCACGCAGACTTGAAAACATCCCCACAGCAACTGGAGCCTGCCACTGCCAGGCTACCAGTCACCAACATGTACACCTTCTCTTTTCCTGCCAGTAGGAGAGTACACAACAAATTTTGTGTGACATTCTTGGGGAACTGCCTCACAGCACCATCACAACACATCACTTGCATAAGAAGCTCCAGTGATGACATCGTTTCCAGTTATAATAACAGGCTAGCTAAATTAGGCCCAGGCAAACAAGTGTCTACAGTTATGTCCAGTTTGCTAAAAATGGAAGGACACCTGCCTTGTTTGGCTTAATTTATTTTAAGCCAACATTTCTGGCTAAGAATCTTCTAAAATAAAACTAAGTTGTAACATATTTCTCCTTCTACCCAGCTATGAGGTAACGAGGAAGAATCCTTGAGTCCACATGCTCTCTGCAGGCTCCTTTCTCCTCAGTTATTTATTATTTGTTAAATTTATTTCCTGTCTCTCTTTTGTCTGTCTACTTTTGGCGACTTACAACAGTAAAAATAAAGAAATGACAAGAAGTGTAAACTAAACAGTAGCAAAATATTGAAACAGCAAAATAAACAATGAAAATGCAGTAATGAGATTAAAAGATGACTGGGGGGGGGAGCAGGGAATGTGGGGGGCAGTGGAGTTTGCTATCGATCTAGTAGCCACCCCCCCCTTCTTAATTCTGAATCATGGCTTAACGCAGTGTTTCTTAACCTTGACAATTTTAAGGCATGTGGACTTCAACTCCCAGAATTCCACAGCCAGCATTGCTTATATCAATCAGAGCACGTTTTGCCTTCCTTGGAGCCTTATTTTTCCCTCCCTAACAGTCACATCCTCCCAAATGCCTTTCGGCTGACGTGCTCCTCCAGAAGGAAGCGGCCTGTCCCAGGGGGCAGTGAGGCAGCTCTGAGACATCTGAGATTGCAAGAGGAGAAGCAACTACAAAGTTTGCCAGTGGGTGTGAGTGAGGAAGAAGGACTCAGCTACCCTGAGATTTCCTGTAACATCTCGCAATGGGGAAAATGATTATTTTGGGAGCCAGGGCAATCAGTGTCAAAGAGTCACTTCCATCAGCTAAACAACAACAGGAAATAAATTTGCATCCAACGTTTGGAGGGGGGAATGGTGTAAACCAGTTTGTCAACTTCAGCAACTTGAAGATACCTGGACTTCAATGTCCAGAATTCCCAGCTGGTGTGTGAATGGACTTCAGGAACCAGCCCCAAATCAGCTCCCTACTTGAGAATCAGAATCTGCACCTATTTGCCAGGAAATACCTGAATGACCTTGAGAAATTTCTTAACTATCTTCTGCAAGTTGTGGCGCGTGACAATAGCGCGGCCTGGTCCGTTGCCCAGGTTGCAGGTAGAGTAGGCCGTCAAAGGCGCAGCGGATCCATCAGGACACAGCAGCTCGTACTCTTCCCGTTCCAACTCTTTGGAAGAGGAAAAAGAGAGCCTCACAAGCTGAAAGCAGAGCCCACAGAGCAGAAGACCCCCCCTCCCCATCTCCGCCTCGCCACGCCACGGGATAGAAGGGCCATTAAGAGGGCAAAACAACTGGCCTGGTCCTGGGTGCAGGGAGGAGAAAGACAATGAGGTCTGGGGTCCTTGGCATGGTTTCCTGACCAGTCTTCTTATCAAGAGTGATAAGAAGGGAGATTTAGGTTGAAGATGAAAGATCAACATATTACCATGAAGAGCACAGCTCTTGGGAGGAAGGATTAGCAAATGACTCACAAGGAGTAGAGAGGCAGTTGATCAAGGCATATCTTTCTTTCTTTCTCAATGGATTACGCTCAGACTATACATAAACCAAACTGCGCTATATCTTGCAAAGAAAATCAAATCAGGACAGGTTGCCACAACCTCTTGTCACTATGCTGCGGGTCCTGTCAGCCTGATTAGTCCGGCCAGCAGGGTCCAGGAGGAGGGTCTTCTCTGCTGTGGCTCCTGTCCTCAGGAACAGGTGAGGTTGGCCCCAACCCTCCTCTCATGTCATAAGGACCTAAAGACGTGGCTCTGCCAGTCGGCTTGGGGCCCCAGTGGGGGATCAGCACAATGGAGGTGGTTGACTGAGTAACAACAGATCCCACCTCCCTCCCCCCATACCCTCCCCAGGTGTCCTGGGTTTTAACATCTTTTTATGTTTTAACTGCATATGTAACTGTAAGCCACCCAGAGTTACCCTTTGGTAAGATGGGTGGGCAATACATTTTATAAATAAATTTTATAAATAAATAAACAACGCAACAGAAGAGGATAAAGTTTGATCTCAACCGTGGAGGGTCCCTTTTAATCCACTGCAAAAGTCAGACAATGTCCTGGGCCAAATGTTTACCTGTAGAACTCATGACTGTGAGGTGATCCACAAACGCCACATCTGCCAGCCCCAACGTCAGGCACCTGCACAGGTGAGAGGGAGGTCAGCTGATGAGCTCCTCTGCCTCGCTTCTAATTCCATTAGGATGAAGCCCCAGGAGGAACACGAGACCACCTGAAGGCACCCTCCGAGCCATAGAAGGGTTCGCGACGGCTAGCCTCACAGAAGTGGTTCTTGTCCCAGATGTAAGACTTCGGCCCTTGGCAGAGAGCGCAGAGCTTAGGATAGGTAGCTCCGATGCCAGGGATGCAGCTGGCATTGAAATAATCACTGATTGCTGGCAACAGAAGAAGAACGGAATGAAAAGCAGATACGCATGACGGGCATGTCTAGTACAGGGAGTGTATGTTTTCACGGAGGGCAGCCCGAACTACCGGGATTTGTGGACTTATTTCAACAAAAGTGTACCTGAGGCTGCGTCTTAAGGACCAGCCTACATAAACAATTTATCCAAAGTTGTCTGGCTTACTCATGAGGCACACAACACACTGTGGTGCAATCCATCTTCTCTAAATAGCCCATCTGTCAGGCTTCAGAACCCATTCTGAGTTACTTCAAAGCCGTTTCCTTTATTGTTCTTCACCTACAGACAGAAATTTTGCTAAATTAAAGCAAACTACTTGTATCATTAAAAATATACACAAGAATGGCCATTTTATTTGTTTTAATTGTTGCATAGTCTCTCATCTTCATTAGCCATCCAGAATTATGTATGACTCTGCTGTAGAAACTGAAATTATGAATAAATGAAAAAATTATCTGAGCCCTAAGATGGAGCGTTCACTTTGTAAGGGCCTTCCGGTCCAAACAGGCCAATATCTAATGCAGAGGCCCCCAACCTGTCGGGCACCAGGGACCGGTTCTGTGGAGAGAGGTTTTTTCCGCGGACCAGAGGGGGCGTGGTTTTGTGTGCTGCCTGCATCCTGCGAATGGGGCTTTGCTTGTTTGTGCAGACCGGTTGATTGCATGCTACGGCCCGGTACCGGTCCACGGACCAGGGGTTGGGAACCCCTGGCCTAGCCTAGTCCCTACAGCAGAGGCCCCCAACCTTTCGGGCACCAGGGACCGGTTCTGTGGAGAGAGTTTTTTTCCGCGGACCAGAGGGGGTGTGGTTTTGTGTGCTGCCTGCATCTCGCGGATGGGGCTTTGCTTGCTTGTACAGACCAATTGCTGGCCTGCCACGGCCCGGTACTGGTTCACGGACCGGGGGTTGGGGACCCCTGATCTAATGTACCAGCCAAAGAAAGGTAAAGGCAGGAGTCCCAGAGAACCCTCAAATCACAGACTTGCTGCTTTGGGGAGTGCAATCTTATCTAGACCTGAAGTCAGCACTGAAGTTGAACCAGATTAATTATCTAGAACAGCATCTCCATTTTGCTGGGATTCAGTGTGAGGCTGTTTTATCCAATCTCAGCCTTCCAGATACCTAAAAAGGATCCCCACAGCCTCTCTGCCTGGGACAGCAGCACACATCATATATGGCTTCCTCACCTCAGATTGACAAGTGTTTCCTGTAAATGTAGAGCTAAGTCAATACAGGGAATCCCTGACTTACAAGAGTTCACTTAGTGACCTTTTGAAGTTACAAAAAAAGGCCTGAAAAAAGTGACCTATGAGTGTTTTTCACACTTACAACCGTTGAAGCATCTCCGTGGTCATGTGATCAAAATTCGGACACTTGGCAACCGGTTCATACTTATGATGGTGGCCGTGTCACGTGATCCTCCTTTTGTGACCTTCAGACAAGCAAAGTCTATGGGGAAGCCAGATTCACTTAACAACCCTGTTACTAACTTAACAACTACAGTGATTCACTTAACAACTGTGGCAAGAAAGGTCATAAAATGGGGCAAAAATACTTAACTGTTTTGCTTAGCAACATAAATTTGGGACTCAATTGTAGTCGTAATTTGAGGACCACCTATAGCACCCCACACTGGAGAAGACATGTACTCCAACGTTCCTCCCTCATGAATATCAACTAGAACTACCCACCTAGGAGAAAGTAGAGCCACTCTATATTTCCCTTCCTTCTCACCCTCGCAGGTGTCTAGCAAGAGAACAGAGTCAAACATCACCAAGAGGTCTCGCAGGGCCAGGAGGGGGGCCATCCCTCCAGGTTCTGAGGTAAGCCCCAGAATGGCCCAGGGGGGTCTCAGCCCTAAGCTAAGGCCGGAAATCTTACTAGAAGGGATCTAAATAATTCACTTTGGCAACTGAGGCAACGTGATTTGTTTCTGAAATGTGAACCCAATCACTGCGGTTGCAAACTATCATTTCTGGCAGTGGCACACAATGTTCTTTACGCAGACTATCGTGTCATCACTGAAACCTTCCAAGAAGCGCATCAGCCAAGAGCTGGTGACACAGCACCCAACTGTTTATAAAATATTACAGCTGAACAATATAGCTCAAGTCCCTCCAGTTACTTATTCTAAAAAATGTTAATATTTTTGTCCAAAATCTCACCAACTGTGAGGTTTTGAGTATTTTATTTCTTTATTTTATTTTGGCATCACCACCAAATACTTTCATGCTGTTAGGGAATGACTGGTTTAAAGTATAGTGTATTGTGTGAACCTAGTCATAGTGTGAGTGTTATGAACTGTGAGGCCTTCTTATGGCATTATGGAATGACCCAATATGTTCAGGCAATGGTGATTCACAATGGTCAGACACAATTACAATATGGTATATGATATAAATGATATTTGTTCCCATCTTATAGCTCACCATTCATCTATTAGAATCAAGTACCTATGGAGATATAATCCTTGATTCAGACAGAGTGGCAACTCTTGTCCACTCACCTTGGCTGAGGGGCTGGCCTGAGACCCACATCAGATCACTCCTAGCTAAGAGGAAGCCCATGGGAATGCTCCAGCCTGAAGTCCACCTAGCTCCATTATGGCAACTTCGGACTCCTTTGAGCCTTTGGAGATCCAGCATCCCACGCTTGGCCACAGCCACTGCAAATACACAACTTCCTAAGACAGAGAAAGTTAGAGTGGAAAAAACATTCACCTCTGGAGAACAAAACTGAATCTTTTGCATCAAACATGGTACTCCTGATTGACAAGGAGCCTAACCCAAAAGCATTTTGAAACATTGTGTTCTGCAGTATTTTATTTTCTTAGTTTAAATTCAATCCGAAATAAGTTATTTCAAGTCATGTGATACCGGAGATGTATGTCCAGCAGAATGACTAATGCCATGGTTTTGTCCAGTTATTTTTTTGGGTGAAAGTGTAAATAAAACAATCAATCTTGGCCTTACTGAAATAGTTCTTTACCTACAATGGATGGAAGGATCTAAATGTACTGCTCCTCCTGTTAGCTTCAGAGGCCAAATGCTTTTAACACTCTTTCCTTATACAAGAGTCTCTCTTTCCCAATTCTTGAAAATGAAGCACTCTGCTCAATTGCTTTTCTTTGCATTTACAGAGACTCAAAGTCGACCTTCAAGAAGGCCAGTCCAACGGAACCTCTCTGGACAAGAAGAGGACAAGTGATTGCCCACTTATGCTCCAGATGGCTGCTCCTCATGAGGAGACCACGTGACAGTAGTCAGCTCATGGATTTGAGTGGCAGATGAGGGAAGCCATTATGCTCTCAACTGCAGCAGAGCATATGTGGGTAAGAGGTTCATCAAGCCTCATTTTCTAAGCACTTTTGGAATATAACTATTTTAAAGTTAAAAGAGGTCTTCCAAGCCACGAGTCTGAAAAACTATGTGGTGAGTGATCCTTTGTTTCAGAAAGCAGGGAAAAAATAATTAATAATTTAAGTAAATGGCAAAAAATTAAATAAGAATTTAATCCAAGAAAGTTTGAAGCAAACTAAGGGACCAAATAAACTTTAAATATTTGATTTAATATTTGAAATATAGAATAGAATAGAATAGAATAGAATAGAATAGAATAGAATAATAACTTTAATAGTCACTTTGAATATACACTAATCGGCATACATTAAAATGAAATTTCGCTGCATACAGCTCTCAAAGGGTCACCACCTCCAATATACACCACATTGATTATCTTTTCTAGGATCTTCCCAGGTATTGATGTTAGACTGATTGGTCTGTAGTTTCCTGGGTCTGTCCCCCCCCCCCTTTCTTGAAGATGGGAACCACATCAGCCCTTTTCCAATCCTCTGGTATTTCCCCCCCCCCCCCCTCCCCCCCCCCCGTGCTCCAGGATTTATGAAAGATGTGGTGCAATAGTTCTGAGATAACAACTGCCAGCTCTTTCAGAATTCTGGGATGTAATCTGTTGGGTCCCGGTGATTTATATTCGTCAAGGTCAGATAGGTGTTCTCTTACGATTTTCTTGCTTATTTTAATTTTTGTTTCTAGTATGTCTTTTGTAGTGGTTTTTTTTTTTTGTATGTTTCTTTTTGTGTGAAGGTTGATGCAAAGTATGAGTTAAGCAGTTCTGATTTCTCTCTTGTTGCCATGAATTCTTGAACTTACGATCACGCAACAGAATGCAATCAATGTTGCACGTTTCTGGGCAAGCCCTGCCTAAATTAGTCCTTTGTACATTTTAAATGTTATGTTCTTATGTGTGTACATGCCCACACATAAAATCTTAGTAATGATGCTTCTGACACGAATAAAGGAGATTGGCTCTGGGAACAAGGTAACTGACCTTCCAAATAGATCTCCTTGGCCACCACAGTCAAGCCATAAAGCTTTACAGCAGAATATACATCTCCAGCATCCAAGGAAACTGCATCAGCTTTATTCTCCTGGGAGAGATTTAAAACATTTTTAGTTTCTTCTCTACCACCCTTCTGGTCCATCTGATACCTTGCATCTAATTACAGAAGAACGTCATTTGCAGGATGTAATAGTTCAGTGTTTTTCAGCCTTGGCAGTGTGGACTTCAACTCCCAGAATTCCCCAACCTTCCAGAGTGGATGTCTTGTGCCTTGTTACCAGAGGATGCAGTGAGTGTTGGCTGTCTTTTCCTCAGAACTGTTAGCAACAGGAATCCAGAAAAAAACACAAGCATTTCAGTTTTTTAAGGTGCTCGATGCCGATTTGTTTGTTATCTGAGCATAACAGTTCAGGTAACAATGTTTTGCAATGGTTAATCAGCACCCAACAATATACGGACATTAATCCTTTGCAAATGAAGCACGGACACTTATATAATAACAGGTTACATGTTTTCCTAGTGATCAGGCCACTTCCCCGTTATGGAGTGCTGAGTTTATTCAGCTGCTCAGGGAAGGCCTATTTCTTCCACTTCTGACTACCTTGAGCTCCTGGGTTATGTAAACAAAGACTCAATCATCCAGGCCAAAAGCATCTAAAATGGTTAAATCATGGCAACTGGACCAAAGTTTATTAAACTGAGAGATTCATTACTCATCCAAGTAACTTCTTCAGTCATGATGAATAATTTAAATTAGGCAAAGAGTCAGAGTTGTTGGAATGCACCAACCCTTGCCATAACAACTGCAGGGGATTCTCCTCAAAAATGTATTACAAATGTTTTTACATTTTTACATTTGCAATACATTTTTGGGGAGAAACCCCTGCAATTGTTATGGTAAGAGTTGGTACATTCCAATAACTCTCTGACTCTTTGCCTAACTTAAATTGTTGTGACTGAAGAAGTTACTTGGGTGAGTAATAAAACATCTCAGTTTAATAAACTTTGGTCCAGTTGCCACAATTTAACCTTTTTAGAAACATCCCTTAGGTTATTTGGCTGAGGGTCTTGTTATGTTATGCTCAGATAACAAAAAATCAATATTGAGCACCTTAAAAAAATGAAGTGCTTGTGCTTCTTTCCTGGATTCCTGACACTAAGAGCCAGAGGAAACGCAGGGGGGGGGAGGAGAGCGACATCATTTACTGCCTCCTGAGGTCACAAATCACAAGACATCCACTTTGCTATCCCAGTGTAATGACAGATGCCAAGTCACTGATTAGTACCATGTTCAAAAGGGTGGTGTCCCCAATTAAATGAGTCATTTCTCAGAGTATCTGTGTCATCTGTTCAGCAATGATCTGATAAAGTTGTTTATTTCTCCAAAGAAGTAAATACTAATTTGTGCTGCTCTTCTCCTGGCTGCTCTTGGGAGCTCTTCTGTTTCTCAAAAGTTTGATTTTGAAATTATTCTGCCTGTAACCCACCCCACCCCAAAGCAACCTGTGTGATCAACACATCGATAGAGCACTCCCTCTGCCTCTTCATCCAAGTGTTCAATGAAAATTGTGAAGAGTAAAGGACCTGGTCTCATCGTTGTAGGAATAGTCTTTCTAATGTGATGAGAAACTCTCCTAGAATGATTTTCACACCAATTTTGTATCTCCTTTAATTGAGGATTAAATATTTAACCATTTTAAGCTAACTTGAGCACATACAAATAGAAAGGTGAGGTATAAATGTAATATAAGTTTCAAAATTAAAAACTAATCATAATGTCTTGTCTATGAGATTCTCAATCATTCAGGTCACAGTCATCCCAAAGGTGCTTTTTTCACGAGGCAACTGGACTTCCTTGTTTTTCTTTGAAGATGTTTCACTTCTCATGCAAGAAGAGCTGAAAAAGCTTCTTGGACGAGAAGCGAAACGTCTTCAAAGAAAAACAAGGAAGTCCAGTGGCCTTGTGAAAAAAGCACCTTTGGGATAATCAGAATGTCTTGAGATGTACAGATAGTCTCAGTGCCCAAGAAGTCCTATACCAAGTTTGGCTTCCATGCCTGAACAGAGGCATCCCAGGTTCACGAGTCCAGGTTCCCCAGGGGGTTTAGTCCAGGAATATGGGCTTCTCAGTGAGAATGCCCCAATTACAGTAGGGAACTCTGCCCTGTCCACTGGGCACGAAAAGCTGAATCGGTGACGTGGGTGTCTCCTGGAATTTTGAGAGACTCACCCGAATCTTATTGATACAGTCGTAAGTGTTGTGGGCCAGGATGCAAGAAACCCTCTTCAAAGTACTGCTGGAGACAGGCGGCAAAGTAGATAGAAGGGCTTTGGACAGCTCAGCACATTTCTTCTGCTCCAGGGGGGAAAGCGTACACCAGCGGAGCTTCTTCCCTGCAAGCACATAGGAGGTTAAACAGCACAGTCCTTTCAAGCTAAATAGCTGTTAGCAACAGAGACACCCACCCACCCCGGTCACCTCCAAATGGCCACAAATGAAAGCCCCAGGGTCACGTCCACTTAGTGTGCTACACTTGCTTAGCTCTGTCCACTTTGAGCTGGGGAACCTCTAACCTCTAGGCGGGAGAGCAGAAGCAAAACAGATGTTTGAACTGGATACCCTCCCTTTCTGTCACCCTTACCTGAGGCCAGATGAGCAACAACAGGCAAGACAAGGAAAACAGCCACAGGAAACAACTTCATGACGGCAGTGGCCCAAATCATAGTCTTCCCCTTCCCTCATTCCAAAGATTCCAAAGCAGTGACAGGAATTGTGCGGGGGAGAGACCGAAAATGCATGATGCAGCAGCTGTGTGGGCTGGAAGTGAAAGTGATGGGATGGGCAGAAAAGAAGGCCAATCCTGCGTGCTGATGGGAAATTTTACAAAGCAAAACCTCAGCCGGGCAAAATAAAGGATTGCAAGCCTTTTGCTTTTCTCTTCCAATTCCTCTGGGGTGGTTAAAAAACACGTACTACATTGAAAAGACGACACTGGCCAGGGTTAGATTTAGACTAGCCTAGTGAGGCATCCCACACATCAGCATTTTGACAAATGAAGACACTGTAGAAGACATTTATCGTAGTGAAAAACCAGGAGCCCAGTAGCATCTTTTTCGACTAACTGATTTTATTGTAAAGACATAAAACCACTCTTTTCTGATTTTAAAAAAATGCAGGTGAAACTAGTCTGCACCCTCTCCATTTCTGTTGTCCTCTGTTCACATTTTGCATCTAATCATAACAAGGCTGGCTTAGTAGGATGTGTAGATCTGTATCTTATACAAGGGCAATTCGGAAATAACCCTTATGACAGACACTCGCAGATACAGAACTTTTATTATACACATTAGAAAACTACAACATTACGTTACTTTTTGAATAATCGCCATTCAAATTGAGGCACTTGTCATAAGGTCTTACAAAGTTTGAAATGTCTTAGTACTAATCGCTTGGCGTCAAATCTGGGCTATGGAGTGTGTGTGATTAAAAACATCCCAGCGGAACTGCTTCAAAAGTTCTTGGGTGCCTCTAGCCGTGTGCGGGTGAGCATTATCGTGAACCAACACAACAGAAGTCAGCAGGCCCCGACGGTTGTTATGGATGGCTCGTCTGAGTTTTCCTAACATTTCACAGTAGACTTCTGAACTGATGATCGAACCACGCTCCATGAACTTCACTGGCAGTACTCCTTTGGCATCTTCACATTTGGCGGGATTTTCTATGGCCTCACTTCCAGTGTGGTGTTGGTACAGCACAATGCTTGTCCGCACACCTCTAGACGCACCCAAGAACTTTTGAAGCAGTTCCGCTGGGATGTTTTTGATCGTACCTCCCCCCCCATAGCCCAGATTTGGTGCCGAGCGACTACGACTAAGGAATTTCAAACCTTGTAAGACCTTATGACAAGTGCCTCAATTTGAATGGCGATTATGTCAAAAAGTAAGGTAATGTTGTAGTTTTCTAATGTGTATAATGAATGTTCTATATCTGAGAGTGTCTGTCATTGATAACCCAAGGGGGGTTTGTTTCCGAATTGCCTTCGTATTTATTAACATATTAACATTGATTATGTATCATCAAATTGTTATCAACTCTTTAGCAACCACAGAGTTAGATTTTCACCAGGAGGACCTAATGCTTTTTCTCTTCCAAGGTGACCTCATGGCCACTGGAACCAAGCCCATCCTCCTTGCCCTCTTCTTTTCTTTCTTTTCACCTTTCCCAGCATCAGACCTTTTCCAGAGAGATGGGTCCTTGCATGAGATGTCTGGTCAAGTGTGGTTTGAGGGAAAACGCAAGGTCCATTTGTTTGATGATCCATCCATTTGTTTTCTTATCTGTCCACAGTATTCTCAGGAGTCTTCTCCAACATGAAAAACTTCAATATTCTTTTCTTCCCGCTTAGTCAAAATCCAACTGTCACTTTTACACAGAGTCACCGGGAATACCACAGCATCTGCGATTCTGTAAGTAGAGGCATCCCAACATTTTAATATCTTTTCAAAGGCCTTCATGGCTGTTTTATGGTATTTTTTGACTGGTGGTTCATTGTCTACTGAGGGTGGGCCCTAAAAGGCAGAGGTTCTCCATTACCATCCCACCACAGACATGGGTGTTTTGCCCAACTGGCTGCCACCCAGATTTTGGCCACCCAGGAACCGCAGAGGCACTCAATGAGGGCATCTTCTCCAGTGGTTGTCACGGCTTCTCCGGCCAACAGATAGACCTTCCTCTTTTTTCCAACAGCAGCATGTCCTGAAGGCTTGAGTTATTTATAAAAATAATAAAGATAGGATATACATGAATAAAATAATAAGTAATAAATACATAAATAAATAAATAGGGTCCCACCAGCATCCCATTTGCAGGTGGATCGGTGTGAAAAAGCACTAAAACTGTATTTTAATTTTTTTAAACCTATTTGATTGAACCTATCACCAGAGGCCTTCATTTACTTCAAAGAGGCCCTCACATATGTTATTTATGACATAAATAACTGTATCTCATATATATATATTTGTTTTCTGAGGTTTTCGCAGGTGTTTGTATGTAGGTCTTTGGTTATTCAGGTTTTCTCCTCCATAAAATTGGAAGTGTCTTGGCAACGTTTCGACAAAGTCCCATTCGTCATCTTCAGGCTGGTGTTTTCAGCTTCGTGCTTCAAGGAGCACGAAGCTGAAAACACCAGCCTGAAGATGACGAATGGGACTTCGTCAAAACGTTGCCAAGACACTTCCAATTTTACGTGGGAGAAAACCCGAATAACCAAAGACCTATATATACATATACATATATATATACATATACATATACATATATATATATATATATATATATATCTCCAAATTTCTTTTTCTGACAAAGAATTAAAGAATTAAATTGGGAGACTAATTTAATTGGGAGACATCTTAGTCTCCCAATTTAATTCTTTATCAGAAAAAGAAATTTGGATTTGTAATGTTTCGCAGTTGTGACTTGAGCCTGCTTAACACCCCTAGTTGGGGGCTGCAAGGCAAAAGAGATTGTAAAAAGTAAAACTGCAGTATAGCAGTTAAAAAAATGTCAAGGTGTAATCAATTAGACATCTGTCTGAAAAACTTCCTAAATATATATATATATATTTATACACATATATACACACTTACTTACTTCAAAAAGGCCCTCACAGATATGTTATTTATGACATAAATAACTGTATCTCATATATATATGAGATGTATGTATGTATGTGTGTGTGTGTGTGTGTATATATCATAACCATATAACTCTCTCGCTCTCTGGGTTTATAGCGACGGGCAGAAAGGAGGGCCTTCCACACCGTAGTCCCTCAGGCTGAGGAAGATGGGCGTTGTGATCCGGCGGGGAGGGGCGTGGCTCCAGCCGCGGCGGCCCTCTTCGGCGTGGCCTACCTCACGGGGCGGGCGTGAGGAGTCGGCGGCGGACGGAGCGCGGCCGCTCTCAGGCTCGCACTGTCGGCGGCGGCGGCGCGGGAGGTCGCAGGCTCCTCAGCGGTGGCAAGATGGCGGCGGCGGCGGCGGCGGCGCGGGCAGCCGGCAGCAGGTACCGAGGGCTGCTCGAGGCGGAGGGCTCGGCGGCGTCCCGGGCTCAATTCGTGGGAGGCCGGCCTCGGGGTGGGGGAAACAGCACCGGGGTCTCGGGCTCCTCCGAGGACGCGTCGGGTCGCCAGAGGGGCTGACTTCGCCCGTCTAGCCCCGGGAAGACCCGGGCTTGACCCTCGGAGACCCAGCGCGACGGCGGGGCCTCGTCCGGTAGGGGATCCCTAGAGGCGACCCTCCGACTCCGGGCGGGCCCTGCAGGCACGCTTCCTTCCCAGCTCGGGGGACGCTTCCATTCGAGTGGACTTCAACTTCCAGAATTCTCTTGCCACTGTGGCCTGATGAGGAATTCTGGGAGTTGAAGTCCACCAACCTGAAAGTAGCCAGAGGTTTTCAAGAAATCCGCCCAGTTAGCTCTCGCCTTAAAACAGTGTTTCCCAAACTTGACAATTTTAAGGCATGTGGACTTCAACTCCCAGAATTCCACAGCCAGCGTTGCTGGCTGTGGAATTCTGGGAGTTGAAGTCCTCATGCCTTAAAATTGTCAAGTTTGGGAAACACTGCTTTAAAAGAATGAAAACTGAACACAGCTCGATTATTCTTTGTCACTTGTCTGAGATGGTATAGAGTCTCCTGCCTGAGTTAGGGGGCTGGACTAGAAGACCTCCAAGGTCCCTTCCAGCTCTATTCTATTCTTGTAGCGGGTGGCAGGCATGTCAAAGAAGCCAGGGCCAGGACTGTGTGGAGGGGCTGCCCCCTTTTCCGCGGATACCCCTGGCCAAGGTGCCACTTCATGCAAATGAAACTTATCAGCGGGTCTTGCCTGCTGGTGAGGTTACCTTGTGACTTGGCAAATGGCCTCTGATTTTATCTGTTTCTTTAGTGTTTACACCTGCTTTTCTGGCTTGTGGCAAGGACTGAAAACAAAGCTGGTATTTTGCTGTGCCAATGACGCACATCTTACAACCCCCCTTTTAATTAAAAGTCTGGCCTACTTGACCCCGTTCTACATATGTGATTCAGTTTCTCTGAATGAGGTCAAATTCTGCTTTGCTCGATTTTCCGTGCCTTCAGGTCAGTGTTGATTCCTGGCCACTGCCTGAGCTACTATAGTTCCTGTGGGTTTCTGGGCGAGTTTTCAGTAGTGGTTTGCCATTGCCTCCTTCCTAGGGCTGAGAGTGAGGGACTGCCCAAGGTCACCCAGTGCCTAAGGGAGGACTAGAACTGATGGTCTCCCTGTTACCAGATGGTGCCTTAAACTGACTATTAGACCAATTTCTGATTTTTTTTATTTTACTCTGTAGGTTTTCTTGTTTAAAAGATGGCAGCTGATATTCTAAAATGTAAAAAGACCCTTTAACATCAATACTAAAACCAAAAGACTTCAAAAGAGATAAGTTTTTGTAGTGTTCTAAACATCAAAGTTGAGATAGAGGCAAACAGAACTTGCCAGACAGCAAAGCAGCAGAAAAGATTTGCTCCCAGAAAGATCTGCTGGTAGAGAGGGATCTTCAAAGCAGCATCTCCTGCAGGTCTTCCTGGCTAGACAGATTTGTAACAGGAGAGGTGCCGGCTATGTCCTCAGATAATCAGGCTCCTCATCAGGGTGGGCTTTAAAAATCAATGCCAACACTTTAAGGCAGTGGTTCTCAACCTTTTTAATGCCGCGACCCCCCAACCGGTCGTAAGTCAAGGACTACTCAACTGGTGCAGCACCGTTTGCAGAATGGGACTTTTGGCGGGCTCAGCAGGGCAGAGACAGCCTGGACAATTCCTATTGGCTTTGGAAAGCCAATAGAATTAGACTCTATATTGGCTTTCAAAAGCCAATAGAATAAAAGGGAGTAGCACAGCTAAGGAAAAGGGGGGGGGGGAAATGGCGGACTGCGTTATTTGGCGACCCCTGTGAAATGGTCGTTAGACCTCAAATGGGGTCCTGACCCACAGGTTGAGAACCGCTGCTTTAAGGAGTACCTGGAAAGTAATTGGCAAATGGGGCAGATGTTTCTGGATGTGTCTCATACAAGCCCCATATCTAGCATATGTTACTAATCTATCTGCTTCATTGGCATCAACCATCATTTCTGGACTCTTTTTCAAGACGGTCCCATGTAGAACACACTGGATTGTGAACGTCTGTTGCCAAATCCAAGTAGTTCAGCCATGGTCACAGCTGACACAGGAGATGTAATTGTGCAAGTCAGGGAAAGCTGAAAGCCCAGGGGGCGTGTTCCCGGGGAAAGCTTCTATTGTTTGGGTAGAACACAGTCTCACCTTAAATAAAGTTAATGAACTACTACTTCGGAGGCCAGTTTTTGGCTCACCAGAAAAACCTCAGTCAAGTGATTCAATTTCGTTTAAATGCAATTAAACCTAATTGCAATTTGTCTTCCTTTATTCACCGATTTCCAAACGTAGATGTCTTTAAGGATATTGACTACTTGAGTAGTCAGATACTCAAGAATCTGACTGCAGTTTGGGTCCTGTTGGAATTTCATGGCATATCCACTACTAGTTTCACCTGGTTTGCTAAATAGCGGGGGGGGGGGGAGCCGTACAACATGCCAGATGGGTATACTAAGGTCCAGGAGAACTAAGTTGGACTTTTCATCCCTGATCCAGAGTCTGATACAGGCCAGACGTAAAGATGGTATTACGTATCATACCCCAGGCTACATCCAGTGACATAATAGTAATTCTGAAGATATTTTGAGAGAAATTTGGACTGGCAGGAAAAAAATACTGTGTACAAAGTGGGAATAGTCTGAACTAGA